TTAATTTCCCTTCAGCACTAAATAAATACCTCACTATTAAAGAAACAATAATTTAGCATAAATTTGTGTGATCAATAATTTGTCTCCGTTGTTGTGTATCTGCTTGGTGTACATCTCAAACTGAAACATTCTAGATAGAAAAATAATCGTTTATTTTACATTTACTAATATTTTATACCCTTGATGCCAAACTGGCAAAATATTACTTTTATTATATTTTGCATTCTTCACCGCATGTTTATCAACACATGACAACTTGAGTAATGACTTGCACACCAATGCACAAACAATTTTTTTTATATTAGTACTGTTTTACTTGCATGAAATATAACTGGGAAAGTCTTTATCCCTTTAAATCTCGAGGTCATGTATTTTTTCTGATTATGAAAAGTTTTTTACACTTGTGTGTCCCTGCAGCATTTGTACATCCCAAAATTGTTAGGCTCGCTTTGGAATCTTTGACACCAGTTGCAGCCTTTTCTGTAAAATTTACCAAGGTATTTTGCAATATGTATTGCCAGAAAAGACCAGTTTCATCAGCATTGTAAATTTGTTCTGGAGATAACTTTTCACTTTTAGTGAGTTCATTGAATTCATCTGCAAATAGTTAAGTGGTGTGATGCTTTGAAATGATATTTTCTCTAGTTCTTATAAAAGAGCTTTGAGTTAAGTCACCTTTAACCTAAAGGTGAGGAACCACAAAAGAATCCTTTTAGGTCAAGACTTTCTAGAATAAAGATGAACTGATACATTTGGAAGAACTGCACCTTAAGCTGTTGTGTGCTTTAAGGGTTACACAAGTGAGACCCAGCTAATGGGTAGGGATTCTGACAGCGATGACGAGTTATATACAGAATAAGTATTGATTTCAGTAACTTTATGTAGTATTTTTAATAATAAATGTTTATTATTAACTACTAAACTGTAATCCAGCAGGCTAATTAAAAACTAATTCATAAACCAAACAATTCTTTATTTTTTCAATTTTAGGGTACCAAAATCAAGGTTATGTCTCATACAAGAAAAAATAAAGTAATTCTACAACATTAACAAAATGTCTTTTTTCAGCTTTTGTGTAGTTAATGCCTTTATTTGCAATTCAAATAATTATGTATAATGAAGAATAGGGTGAAAACTTTTTTCTTACATTAATTTTATAATACTAAAAAAACTGTCATAAATAGATTATTCAACAAGTGTTTTGCATTTCAAAAAGTAGAAGGAATCTCAAATTCAATTATTGTTTAGATATATTGTAACATTCAAATATGTGTACTAGTTATTTTTACTCTATACTCCGAAAACTTGGTAGAACATTGTAAAAAGAGATGATGAAGACACCAAATATAACTTACATGAATGGTAAAGCAAATATCTGAGGAAGGCTACAGCTCATTTAAAACTAGGTATGACATAAAATGTAATAAATCACCACTCATAATCTGAAAGTTAAATTTGAATCAAATTTCATTTTATCTTTAATTTTATTGAAAGTTGTAGCCAAAAAAAAAATTATTTTTCTTAACTTATGGCATTCAGTTTCTGTAATACAGTATGAAGTCTGAAATCTGGACCTCAAAATGATCTAAAATCCGGACCTCAAAATCGACAACTTTTTTTTTTTTCTTTAAATGCTTTACACATGCAAATTTAATTTTTTTCCCTACATAAATAAAACGTGGAGTCCCAGCTCTTAATTTCCCTTCAGCACTAAATAAATACCTCACTATTAAAGAAACAATAATTTAGCATAAATTTGTGTGATCAATAATTTGTCTCCGTTGTTGTGTATCTGCTTGGTGTACATCTCAAACTGAAACATTCTAGATAGAAAAATAATCGTTTATTTTACATTTACTAATATTTTATACCCTTGATGCCAAACTGGCAAAATATTACTTTTATTATATATTTTGCATTCTTCACCGCATGTTTATCAACACATGACAACTTGAGTAATGACTTGCACACCAATGCACAAACAATTTTTTTTATATTAGTAATTTAATAACAAAAAATATGTTAACCTTTTATGTTGACGTTACACTTGGCAATGATTAAAGTTAAATGCACTAAGAAAAATTTAACAAAATTCTTTCCATATGCTAAAAATAAATTATGTTAATAATACTCATAAACCAAATGATTACCTTTAGTGCTATTTAAATTAAGAATAACTGATTTGTTTCTCAAATAAATCCAGAACTAGCACCAGAGCTCATATGGCCGCACTGGGCGGAATTTAGGGAAGACAAGATTTTTGAAAATTTTTATGAATTTTGAGAAGCACCGAGCAACAAAAATGAAGGGATCAAAATATTTTTAGAATTTAGGAAGGCACTGGGATCGAAAATTTAGGTGCTACAAAAATTTAGAACTTAGGGAGGCAGTTGATAGCAAAATTTAGGACCCACAGTAAGATATTTAGGGCCAGCCCTCGATAAGCCTGAAGTACGTGTGGCAGTTTATTTATTCAGGACTCATATAAGCCGTAAACATATGCAAGAAATAGACGTAAGTACAAGGGGTGATCAAATGAAAAGGTACGAAACAACGTAGAAACGTAACAGTTAAATATTTGCATATTCCGCCATGGGAGAACGTAGCGAGACATCTCGGGATGTGATTGGAGTCTCTGACTGGGATTGGAGCATACGCGGGCACCCGCACGCACAGGAGAGAGCAGAGGCCCTTATCAAAAGCGCCGCTCAAATGATGCGGCTGTCCGTATGAGGACAGCACGACGTTCGCGTTGCAAAATTCGACGAGGAGCAGCAAGGTGTTATCCGATTTCTGACAGCAGAAGGTGAGAAACTGGCAACTATTCATCGCCAGATGGTGACAGTTGACGGGGAGAAATGCGTCTCTGACAAGTCTGTCAGAAAATGGAGTGCCTGTGAGAGTGTGGGTGATGACCCGAGACCAGGCCAGGCAAACACTGTCATCACGAGCAATTTCATTGACAAGGTAGACGAGTGAGATCATCGACTAGTGAGAAGTGATCGACATGTCACATTGCGAATGTTGGCAGTGAAGGTGGATGTCAGCTATGGAACCATGTGGACAATTGTTCACGACAGGTTGCGATATCGGAAGGTGTGTGTGCCACTTGGGTTCCAAAGCAGCTCCCCGACCAGCAAAAGAAACTGTGTATGGGGCTAGCACTGCAACATCTGTTTCGGGATCAGGAAGACCCTGCTTTCATGGAGCGAATTGTCGCAGGTGATAAGACCTGGTGCCATCACAACGAGCCAGAGACAAAGCGGAACAGCATGCAGTGGAAGCATGCGTCGTCACCTTCTTCAAAAAAGTTCAAAGCCGTGCCGTCAGCAGGCAAGGTGTTGCTCACTATCTTTTTCGACGTTCAAGGTCAGCTACTTGTGGATTTCCTCAAGCACAGAAAACCATTAGCTCTGATGTGTACTGTGAGACATTCCGACGCCTACGCAGGTCCATCAAGAACAAAAGACTGGGGCTGCTCATGGAGGGTGTGGTTCTGCTCCATGATAACACGCATCCTTACGTCTCCAGAGTCACACACATTGAACTAGCCAAGTTCAAGTGGGAGACCTTGGACCATCCGCCCTACAGTCCGGACATGGCACCCTGCGATTTCCATGTGTTTGGTCCGCTGAAGAAACACCTGAAAGGGAAGTGCTTCAACTCGGACACTGGGAAGGACTGGGTCTCGTCACGGCCACAGGAATTCTAGGAACAAGGAATCTTGTGGTTTGTTCATCAGTGGGATCATTGTGCTCAGGCCTATGGTGTATATTTTGAATAAAGTCTATTTTTGTACCCACCATGTCGTTTCATACCTTTTCATTTGATCACCCCTTGTATAATAAATAACTAAACTAATACAGTCAGGCTTAATTGTCTCAGTGTACAATAGAAGCAAGACAAAATTTAGCAGAATAACTTGTCTTTTGTCGCTAATCTCATGAAACATAGCCAAATAATGTATAGTGGACACTATTAAGCTATGCTAAAATGATACTTTACTGATTCCAAGGAATTTCAGTCAATATATCAGATTTTGCTTTAACTTACTTTATTTCTTTACCGACAATGAAGAAAGTGACAGAGGTTATTGAAATGAAAAAAATTTCGATTGACAAGTTAATCGGAATTCTCGACACAATGATTACAAGACTTGAACAATGAAACTTTGTAACTGAATAAGAAATTATGTATGTCTACAGAATTAAATAGAAAATAATTAGCTCAAAAAAGCAACTTACATGATTTACATTGAAAGAAATCTATAATAATAAAAGCAAGTGTAATATGTCTGTCTGTCTGACCGAGCTCTCCAGCCAAATCTATCGCACGCAGGGACCTGGAATTTTTTATACGGAAGCACAAAGGGGCTGGCCACCAGACCTCGAAGCCCGATTTTCGATTTTTGAATTAGAAAAATTTTAAAAAAATTATTTATAATTTATTAATCACGGTTTTTTTGACTCACTGATATTATTATTTGTTTTCAAATAACGTTCGATTGTAACAATTGATTTCTTTATTCTAGCGTTAGTTTGCTGTTTTGACGATACATTAAATCGATTAATTACAATTCATTTCTTTTTTGTAGCTTGTGGGGGGGGGGAAGAGAGAGAGACAGTCTACATGTCCTACACTACTATTCCTGCGCTATTCACTTATCTGCATTTTCTAAATGCACGGGCAATGCCGGGCGGGTACACCTAGTGTTTAATAAAGTAAACAAATAAATATTAAGCTTTTTTGGTAAATTTTGTTACCCTTTAAATCATAAATACTTCATTATTCATAAATTATGATTTCATATTTTTAATTTTAAAATTTCTACATGAAATCTTAAATGTTTTAAACTGATGATCTAATATCTGGAAAAATTCGGAATCACCAAAGTCCCGAGGAATCCGGATTTCAGACTGTATCTCATAAGTAATCCTTTTTTTTTTTTATTGTAATAAGAAGCTCTAGTTATGTATTCTAAAGTTTGGCTTTACTTTTAGATGTCTGATAATAAGGTTGGGGTTGTTGCTGCAACATTTCCAAAATCTGTAGCATCTAAATCTGAATCTGGAAAGAAACTGCAATCTTTGTTTGAGGAGTTTTATGCCAAAAATAAATTTAAAGAAGGTGATAAATCTAATGAGGTATGTTAATTTTTTTAGAATATACATCTTTTTAAAAGCTATTAATTAGTATATGTAGTTTAAATGTCAAAGTAAGTGCTTAAAAGTATGCTTGTGTATTTACAAATATGATCAAGGTTCGTACGGTCCTTACAAGTCCTTAGATTTTTTTGTCCTTAAAAGTCCTTAATTTTGGCCAAAATCAGCAGAAGGTCCTTAATTTTAATCATCTGAAATTTCTGTCTGTTTTTACGACTGCCATTTTCAGTGTGAATTAGCATTTTGGAGGAATATTTTTGGCGATTCACTGATATATATGGTTATCTTTTGGAATGGGTTCATTAGTTATAATTTGTTTCTATTTCTAATATAAATGATGGTATACTCGTGTTTCTAAGCAAGAAGTGAGACATAAGCATATTGAAATTCATTTTTTCTAATAAAGAGCTCTTAAACAACTTTTTGCTTTTGGGGATGTGAATTCTTTTATTAAACGGTTCTAAATTTGGCGATTTTAAGATCAATTTCTATAGAAACTTTTTAATTCCAAGATCTGAGAATTTTTCGATGATTTTTTTTTTAACTTCTATTTTTAATTGGCCTCTATTATTTTTTATTTAATTTGGGGACTTTTTATCTTAGATATAGCACTACAAGTCTAAACAGCATAATTTAAATTAATCATGGGATCTTACGTAATGCTTAATGCAGATACCTCTTGCCCAATCAAATAATTGTAAACCTAAACTAGGAACTGAAACTTTTAACTGTCCCCTTCTTCCTCTGAAATAATGCGTCCTTTTTTGCTTCAGCTTCTCTCTGTGCACTGCTTGGATGTAATTTCGCTGTGCTTGCTTCCTCTCTCAATAATTATCAAAAATGTAAATATTCTTTAATAGATATGAGTAGAGTGCCAAGTGCATTGTGGCCACAAATGTGAATCTAAATGAAAAAAGGAATTAAAATGATGTCAACTGCCAAGTTCTTAGTCTTTACGAATTCTGTACTTTAAGCATCAAGTATCTATGCCAGGGGTTCTCAACCAATGGTACGCATACCACACAAGAGAAAAATAGGTGGTATGCAAAGAAGCAAAATATTTTTAACTATTAAATTCAAAAATTAAAACCCCAACATTCTGATTGAGTTTTTATCTCTGACACTCATTTATGTGATCTAAGCTTTGTTCAAGAGTGGTGTGGTAGTAGTAGTACTTTGTAGTGGTGGTACTAAAGATTTTAAATTTTTGTTTAGATGGTACATGTTAGTCAAAAGGTTGAGAACCGTTGATCCTATGCCATCAATATTTCCTTGCATCTACATCTCAGTGTTCTTACATTAGCACTTTCAAAATTGTGCTATCGTTACATGTATATATGTGTATATACACATACATTCATGCTTATATATATATATATATATATACATACATACGTAAACACATACATCCATTCATACATGTATACATACATACATTTCTAAATCCAGTCCCGATAACAGAACAGTACCCTTTTATCACATAATTCTGAAATGCATAAAGCATTGGTCTGAAATTAACTCCTGTCTAAAGTTCAGTTTTTCATGATTATTAGCAATTTATAGTTGACTCATTCTGATTTGCATTAAGAAATTTCTTGTTGAAGTTATTGGCATAATAATTAAATAAGTATAATATTTAAGTCATTAATTTTGTGATATTTTTCGTCAAAACTTAAGTTGTAACATTTCAAAGTTTTACATTTATTCACATTTTATATTTCATTTCTGTGCACTAATGTCTATACTTTATTTTTATATCGTAGGTAGCAAACAAATTTCAGAAAAATAAGAAATTTAATGATTCTAAAGTTCAGTTTGTCAATGAAGGGTATGTAATATATTAAAAATTTGGTGCAATTTTTATTTTTTAATTTAGTATTTTATTTCTATTGCCTGCATTTTAAAAGTAAGAACTAAATATGTTATTCCAAAATAAGTATGTATAATAAAACGAATAACTGTAGAATATATTTTAATCATTAAGAAAGTGTGTATATAAATTCTAAAACAATGTGATATTTTTAGTTTTTTGGTTAACTGTTTCATTGTCTGCAGTGAACTACAGAAATCTGAAGAATTTGTTCTTAAGCAAATTTGCTGCTTTCTCAGCAACCTCTTTGTGTTGCATACCAACACAGCACTTCTTTAATTTCTTGTATGATGTTTACTTTCGTGTGTGTATATGTACACTTACAGTACAAAGTCTCAAATCTGGACTCGTCAGGAATTTGGCAATTCCAGATTTAGGATTTTTTTGGATATTAGATAATCAGTTTAAAATTAAAAATATGAAATAGTGGTTTATGAAACAATGAAGGATTTATGACCTTAAGGGAATCAGAATATACAAAAACAAACAAACAAAACAAAACAAAAGCTCAATATTTATTTGTTTGGCTTTCTTTCAATATAAGTGTTTTTTTTTTTTTTTTTTTTTTTTTGTTCAAATACTTCCTTTTTAATTTTATAGACAGAGATCATTTCTTTTTCAGATACTAAGTTCTGTTACTCAAGGTCTGTAGTTGTTTTCTCAAAAATTTGCACTTAATTGTCAATCAAATTTTTTTCATTCACAACAATTTCTCTATCATTTTCTTCTATTGGTAGCAGAATTTTCTGGATTTATAACCATACTACAGATTTTGCTGTCAGTTGTTTATAGTTGTCACTGAAATGAAAAGTTTGCCATATCTTCATTTATTACCACATTTCTCAGAAATTCCATTAATTTCATTTATCCACATTTCTCAGAAATTCCATGGCCCAAAATAAGCTTAGCTAGCATCCGCTATATTGATGATATATCATAAGATTGGCAACTAAAAACATGTTTTTCCTACTAAATTTTGTCTTGCTTCTGTCACACATTAAGAAAGTTAAGCCTGAATTATATTAGTTTATATATTTATGCCTGTTTGCCACACATGGTGATCCAATTCTCAAATGTATTCCCACATATACTTAAGGCCATTGTTAGACAGTTTGCAGCCCAGTGCAGTCTCTGTATCCATCCTAAATTATGCTGCCAAGCTCTTCCCTAAATTCTGAAAATTTTGCCGCCTCTAAATTTTTTCTCCCAGTGTCTTTTTTAAATTCGGTACTTACGTATTATCGCAACCAGGTTGGCGCTATTTGTAAGTTTGAGTAAAAAAGTATGAATAGAAAGAAAATGTACATTTATTAATTACAGAAAATTTTTAATACAGTTTTTTATATTTTGTTTTAAAATATAAAATAGCATTTAAACCCTTCCGGTTTTGAATTTGAATAAGTTGCAGAATTATTTTTTCGGCGGAAATCTTTTGGCTATTGCTTTTAGCACTGATTGAAAACCGTATTCGCCATAACCATGTACACATCGACTTATTTTTACTTAAAAAAACATCCCAGAATTGCACAAAAATGGCATTGTGCACACTCTTGACTTTATCCATGTACACTGCTATTTTCTCATAAATTACAAAAATTTGCACAAAAATGCAGGAAAATTTTGTGAATCTCCAAATGCTCTTTTTACAAAACTTCGTATAACACGTAGGGTTGCCGTAAGTAGGGTCGCCAAATTTCACAATTTATGCGAATTTTGGCCTGGTTGCGTTAATACGTAAGTACCCTAAATTCTAAAGATTTTGCCATCCTTTAATTGGTCGCTGCTTCCATAAAAATCTAAAACTTTTACCTTCCCTAAATTCTGCCACGTGATAAAGCCACACCAGCTCTTCCACTAGTCCTGGGCTTGCCTGAATAGCAAACCATTTATTCTCAATTCAGACAGCACTAAATGTATTCTTTTGGCCTGTGCGTATCATTTACAAAATCTATTTTTTGCATGTAGAAAGAAATTTTTGTTAAATTTCTCCTAGTCAACACATGCAACACTTCGTGTTAATGTAAAAGATTACCATTTTGTTTTTGGTATTCAAATACATATATATATATATATATGTATATAAGACCACTGTGTAAGTCATTTCTCAAGCTGCCATGTGTTGATAGTTGTGCGGTGATGAAAGCAAAAGACAATAAAATAAAATAATGATTTGCCAGGTTGGCATCAGGGATATAATTTATTCAATATATGCAAAATCAACGATGTTTCAATGTTCACACATGCTTCACATCTTTCACTATGAAAAGATATCAAATGCATATGCATAAAGCGTACAAAGAAAAACATTTTATAAAGGAAAAGAAGTAGGTTGTTGTTGGCTGGAGGTGTGAAATTTAGGTCATTCCTGATATTGGACATCTGGATTTTGGACTTGGTACTACACTTATGTCCATAAATTAAGGATAACTCGGAGTCACACGGAAATCAAACTCTAAAATAAATATATTACCTGTAAAATCACTACACACATCTTCAAGATTCATATGCAAATTTCAGGAAGTAACCAGATGACACCGATGGTACACCACAATGACGAGAGTGTAAGAGAGTGATATATAAGGAATACAGGCAAAGAAGTAAAATTGTTCGCAGGCGCTTTATAAGCATTTCAGTGCAATAACCGAATAGTTATGACACAAAAAACGCATTTGGATGATTTTTTATGTGGTAGAATTATCGGCAGTCTGGAATGTGGGCGTACCCAACTGGAAGTGTCAGATGAACTTGGAATTCCCCAGAGTGTCATCTCCAGGCTTTGGCAACGATTCCAAGATGATGGTAATGTGAGTAGACGTTACAGCACAGGTCGCCCCAGAGTTACAACGCCGAATGAGGACCGGTATTTGGCAGTTACTGCCAAAAGAACCAGGTGGAGCACAGCCTCAGACCTGTCTCGTCAGCTCTCTTCAGCCACTGGTACAACAATTTCAAGGCAGACCGTGTACAGACGCTTAGGGCAGATTGGTCTATATGCTCGTAGACTGTCAGATGCGTTCCACTTACTGCAACTCACTGTCGCCTGCGGTTAGCCTGGAGTAGAGAGCATGCATTGTGGACACCGCAACAGTGGGCTTGTGTGATGTTTTCCGACGAGTCCAGGTTTAGCTTGCAGTCTGATTCTCGCCGGACTTTCATATGGAGAGCTCCAGGTACCCGTTACCACCAAGAAAACATCATTGAACGACACCGTTATGGTGGTGCAGGAGTGCTCGTTTGGGGTGGAATTATTCTGGGTTCCAGAACTGACCTGCATGTTCAAATTGGAACCATGACAAGCCAAATCTATCGGGACGTCATTCTGGAACAACATGTACGTTTGTTTCGGGGCGCCATGGGCGCACAATTTGTGTTTATGGATGACAACGCCCGTCCTCACCATGCAAACATCGTAAGCGAATGCCTTCAATCGGAAGATATCACCCGTATGGACTGGCCAGCATTCTCACCGGACTTGAATCCAGTAGAGCACGTGTGAGACATACTTGGCCGATGAGTTGCAGCCCGTCAACCTCTTCCTACATGTCTACCGGAACTTCGGAGAGCATTGCTTTTTGAGTGGTGTGTAATATCCCCCAAGATCAGATCGATAATTTGATACTCAGCATGCCTAGGCGTTGTACTGACTGTATTGCATCGTCTGGGGGACATACAATGTATTAACAATCATACCAACCATGTAATATTGGTTTTTTGTAAATAGGTGTTTTTTGTAATTTGCTCCAGGGAGAAAAAATTGCTAATTTTTTTAATAATATCAAATATATAGCATCTTTTTTTGCTCTTTACCTTTTGTTTAATAAATAAGCTTTACAAATAAATCAAATTTGTTTTGCTTCTAACTCTCCCTTTGCCTGAGTTTGCGTTATCCTTAATTTATGGACATGAGTGTATGTGTGTATGTATAAAGCATGTAATACTTATGTGGTATATATAGTGGTATATATATATATATATATTAGGGGGTGTTCAAATGAAAAGGTATAAAATGACACTATAGATATACTGAAGTCTATTCACAAGAAATCACCAAAGGCCTGAGCACAACTATCCCACTGTTTCATGAGCCGAAGGATTCCCATTTCCCAGAATTCCTGTAGCTGTGACAGGAGCCAATCCTCCACTGTGTCCTTCAGCTCATCCTCCGAGTTGAAGCGCTTCCTTTTGAGATGTCACTTCTCACCAAGTTGTTCCCCTTGTCGATGAGTTTGGCATGGAAAAAAATTTGAAATCTCTATAAAACAGTTTACTGAAAAGCAAACGCATATGCTACCCAAGAATTCTCCTACATTATGCTAATCAATATTCTAATTCAGTTAAATTTAATAAATGCAAAAATCAATAGAAAAATTTTTCAGGTACCCAATAATAAATTCAAGATATACAAACATGTATATAAATGCTGTCAAAAGAGAAAAATACTCTACATTACAAAAATATTCAATTTAATGAATAGTGTCATATATTAATTAATCAAATAAAACTAGAAATTTTTTTTAGAAATATTTCTTTAACTTACTTCTCTACAATGAACAGAACTATTTACTAGCAGGTTTTTTTTTTTTTTTTTTTTCCCTTGAATTCCAAGGGCAAGCATGTTTTTATCAGTACATACCAGATTAAAGTTTGGTTGTAAAATTAGTAAGAAAGCAAAAAACTGGTTGGGAGCTATGAAATGACTAGACCAGGGATAGTCAACCTTAGCCCATCCACTATTGGGTGGTTTAAATTTTGATGGTGGGCGGTTGAGCCTTTTGTCCATCCGATGAAGAAAGTCCATTCTCCTGTGATAAGCTATCTCCTGTTTCCATATATTTTTAAGTCTCTGCCACTTCTCTTAGGTGTTATTCTGTGATTATAGCACACATACTAGGATTATCACATCTTAAGCACGAGGCTAGGGAAATTTTTCCGAGAAACGACCTCTTTTTTCTACCCATTAAAAGTTTTTTAGCTGAAACAGTTTCACTGGAACCGATGTCCTGGCTAGCTTCTATCCATCTAATATGCATCCTATTTGTTTGCCAGCAGCATCTCTCTAAAACATCTTGGCCGTTTGCGATCATCAGTTTAACTGATTGCACCAGTTCTTACATTTTTTCATTTTACGAAAAAATGTAAGAACTGGTGTAAGAAGCTAGATTAACATCTCAGTGCTTAAAAATGTTTTTCACCTTCAATTTATAGACTCAGTTTATTAGCCCTAAAAACAATATTTTCGTAGATAGGATAATCTGTTAAAAAATAATGAAAATAATTTCTTCTTGAACATAAACTTTGTGTGTGTGTCTAATAGATATAATAAATAGATAAATAGATATATGTATACACACATAATTTATCATGTTTAATTATTTTATATACCTATAAATAACTTGTAGAATTTCTTTTATTTATTTATTATTATTATTATTTTTTTTTTAATTAACCTCTCGAGTACACTTTGAGTATGTTTCCAATTACACCACGAAGGCATGCAGAAAGGAGGGAGAAAATACCTTTATGTACTCCCCCTTTTAAACTGTAACTGGGAATTTGGGGGCCCAATTGCCAAATAGTGGTGATGAATTATCGTTCACCACCTTTTAGTCCAGGTGCTACTGTAGAGTCATTAAGACATTTTTTAAGCTGGAGATGTCAAAAGTGTACATTGCACTTGATGTGTATTAGAGAGGTGTATTGCAGAGTTCGATGCCCGGCAAAGGCTTTGCACATTTTTCACATCTCCAGCATAAAAAAATCCTAATGACTGTACAGTGGTTTCTTGGCAGCTTATTTCGAAGAAAGCAAAAATAATGTAGGCAAAATTATCAAATACCAACTATAAAAAGTTAACCTATCAGTTAACATTGAATGTTTTCCTTCAAAATTATTGTGTGGCTTGATTCTGAGAGTGAGTTGGTGTAGCTAAACCTTTTGATTTATACTTTAATACTGAACAATACATCAAGAAAATATGGTATTAACAAAATTAATGTAAAATTTAAAATGTATCCTCGATAATAATAATAATTTTATGAGTAATAATAAAATTAAGAAAAGTAACTGTAAAAGGCCAGAAATTTGCTCCTTGGCAAATAATTCTAAAGTGCTGATCATATTGATATATCTTAAAATGAAGTGTGGCAAACAGCTGAGCACTTATAAAATAGCAACCCTGTCATCTTGGGAAGTAATTTTTTATAGCAAGAGAAAAGTGTGAATGAAAAAATGCGAGATGCCATATAATATTGCCAGAATATGTCACGCTTGGAAAAAGTTACCAGGTATAGATAATGTGGTTTTAACACAGAATGATTATTTTTCCTCTGTTTAAAATCACAATGACAAAAATATGTTAAAAATTGCCTCAAGAGTAGTTTTTGACAATTTTTGATTTCTTGGTTTTAAAAGAGTGGAGAATTTTCTACTGCCTAAAATCATTTCAAAATTTTGTAAGAGGCACATTTTTGGATATCAATATTTCAAACAAGAAATATAGGTATATTAAAAATATAGCATTTTTCAAAAATCTCCCAAAAATCAATTAATTAATTTTTCATAAATTTAATTTCAAAAAATTTTCTCTACTTTATTTGCTGATGCAAATAGTAAAATTCTGAGATTATTAGTTTGTTCGTTAAGCTATGTTTGAAAAATGCTCCCAAAGCATTGCATCATAAATTTTTAAAAAAATCACACTCATTTTCTTTTGTCAAGATGTGGATTTTCTTTGCATGATGAAAGTATTAATGCCTTCAGTTATTAATTTTAAATAAAATGGTTGTGATATTATTTATTGAAAGTTTTGATCAAATCTAATTCATGTATTTATCAAGCTTTTTTTTTCCCCCCCCCCCATGGTTTGTTCCTGTAAAGTTTTAAAGCTATCTTAATTTGACCAGTTTGTGTTAAACAACATTAATGCGAGGTATTGTACATCCCTCCCAGAATTAAAATTTAGTACCCCCCAAAATAAAACTTTTGAAGTCCAAAATATAGTTTGTAATAACTACTTGTCTATCTTCTGATGTGACAGCTGAAGTACGTGTAGAAAGCACACAGGAAAAGGGTAAAAAGAACCCTTTATTAACTCTTTAAAATTCACAATACATTGACTTGACACTAACACACTATGCCTCATTTGAGCGATAACTCAAATAACAAGAACTAAACTAAAAATTTGAGGATATTAACAAGTAGTAGAATTACTCTACAGGGCTCAGATAATCCTGTTACCTAAAACCATGTCGAAATCTAGTGGCATCAAAGTAATAGCTGTTACACCACTTTAACCAGCAATAAATGCAGAATCAGAAGCTCATGCTTCAAAAATACAAAGCTTTCCCACATTTTCTAACTTTCCCTTCTAGGACTCACTATTTAAACTTTTTCTTCTCAAGGTAGAATTAACATTACTTCATGCGTGCTACCAAATTTAAATATTCTGGCATTGACAATTAAGGGAATGAATGCTTATAGGAAAACTTAAAATCCTTTCAAGTTTATTAGAAAAGAACTTGGGAATTAAACTTTTAGAGATTTCAACAAATTTCATAACTGATAAGAGAAAAATGTAATAATATCAACTAAAGTGATAGAATAAGTCAGAATTAGAAACTATTACAGTAGATACTAATAAAGTATTTTTTTAAATTTATACCACTATAAAATTTAGTTATGCATAATATTAAAGTTGGTACGATTTTCTGAAATTTTTTTAACATTTTGAATAATCAAAATCATAAAAACAACCGTGTATTTAGCATAGGTATAATGAAACACTCAATCGATTTCGAGGGCAGCTAAAGGTCCCTCCTCATCAGGAGAAAGAAATACCTAGAAAGAAGAAAATAAAGGAGAAGGAGTCACAGAAACACGTGGTCGTTATCAGCACTGCACGTGGTTATAACTAAATTTTTAATCAGAGTTGCACTGGCCGCCTACTTTTACGGAGCCAGGCTATCTGATCGAGCATGAAAAAATTAGCGAAGTTAAAATAGGGAGCGAGGGGCAAATGCACATTACGCTCAAAATCTGAACTTCAAATAATGGAAAGCAACCACTGAACAGATTTTTTTGAATAATCTTGCATATATTTTTCAAGATACATTTAAATGTTATAATCCAAATTAAATAATTATTATATTTTTTTAAATTATTGCAAATCTTCAACCTGATGGCTGTGCTGATCTACTTACTGTTTGCTTTGCCCTCCCCACCAAAAAAAAAAAAAAAAAAAAAAAAAAAGACTTTAGATTGACATAGATTTTGAATAAAATTGAAGGAGAATCAAACCTAGGTAGGTCCCTCTGTTTCAGGGGCAAAACTCCTTTTTTTTTTTTTTTTTTTTTTTTTTTTTACAAAGTTGGGAGGGAGTGACAGCCATTATAAATGGAAAGAAATAGGTGGAAATCCTTGAATGAAATAATGAAAAAAAATTATCAGTATCGCAATAATGAAAAAAATTTAAATCCTTCCAAGCTTTTTTAATTCTACTATCTTAGCTTTTTGACATTTCATTACTGTTTTCTCGATAGTTTCATTTTCACTCATTGTTTTTCATATAAAATCACTTCTCTCAACTTTTCAAAGTTTTTTTTGGGGGGGGGGAGAAGAAGAGGGATCTACATCCAACTGCTTCAATAGAGCTTCGTTCAAAATTTAGTTCAAACTAAGGTTGCTTTTTTGTCTAATTTTACATTAATGTATTTCTCAGTTTGACTAAAGATTTTGGTATTGGGAAACATCTTTGTTCTAGACATGTTTTTACTAATTGTCGTCTGGTTTACTGTATGAATTTTATTTTATGTGTGTATTAACAAAAGAGTCAAAACCTTCAGAATAACCATCTGCATTTGATATGCTAGGCAGCAGCTATAATGAGGCATTTTATCATCTGCCGAATAGAATTTTTCTATTAAATATCTATGCATATAGCTGTTAAGGGGGAAAATATTAAAAGATTTAATATCATGTAAAAAAGGAATAACATTTCATGTTATGAATATTAAAAACTGCATTTTTAAATATACATTTATTCCATTTCTTATGTATTTTTTTTTTTTTTTTTTTTTTTTTTTGTAAATTTTAGATTGAACAGAATTGGGAAAGGTAAGAAGAGAAAGTTTGCCAATTTAAGCAGTTCTTCTAATGACATTGATGGGGATGGTTCAATGCAACATGAAAAGAAAAAAGTAAAAAATCTGGATGTAAATTATGAAAATCTTCAGACTGCTACTGATAAAATTAAGAAAAATGAAGCAGGTATTACAAATTCATTAACTTCAGAGGGAAAATGTTTCCCAAGGAATAACAAACAGAAGAGTGACTTTGTAAAAAAGCCAATTTCATTCTTGAGTAATACTGTAAAGAAAAAACAACCATCGATCACTGGAAAAGCAGAGGATGAAGAAAAATTTAATAAGGCTTATGATTTCAGTAGTGCTAAATTGAAATTCAGTCCATTTAAATTGGTGAACAAAAATAAGAATGACTTGCAAGATAATATTTTTAATGAGTCAAATGAGTCAGGTAATGAAAATTTTGAAAATGATAGAACAGATGATAAAAAATCAAAAAAAGATTCAAACTTATCTAGAAAGAAATTTCAGAACTTAGACAGTGTTCCTGCCAAGAGCAAAAAGAGGAAAGAAATTAAAGAACAAGAGGTCGGTGAGTCAGATGGGTCAAATAATGCGGAAGAAGAATGTGAAATGTATATAAAAGATAATAAAAAATCAAAAATGCCTTCAAACTTGTCTAAAACAAAATTTCAAAACTTGGACAGTGTTCCAGGTAAAAGCAAAAAAAAGAAAGAGATTAAAAAACAAAAGGTGTTCAATGTTTATGATGTGTCAGATGATGAAAAAAAAGAATGTGAAACATTTGTAAAAAATGAGAACTTATCTAAGAAAAAATTTCAGAATATAAATGGTATGAAAAGTTCAGAGAAAGATAAAAATGTAGACCAAAATGAGTCTGATGATAAAAAATCAAAAAACGATTCAAACATGTCTAAAACAAAATTTCAAAACTTGGACAGTGTTCCAGGTAAAAGCAAAAAAAAGAAAGAGATTAAAAAACAAAAGGTGTTCAATGTTTATGATGTATCAGATGATGAAAAAAAAGAATGTGAAACATTTGTAAAAAATGAGAAGTTATCTAAGAAAAAATTTCAAAATATAGATGACCATGCTTTTAATGGTATGAAGAGTTCAGAGAAAGATAAAAATGTAGACCAAAATGAGTCTGATGATAAAAAATCAAAAAAAGATTCAAACATGTCTAAAACAAAATTTCAAAACTTGGACAGTGTTCCAGGTAAAAGCAAAAAAAAGAAAGAGATTAAAAAACAAAAGGTGTTCAATGTTTATTATGTGTCAGATGATGAAAAAAAAGAATGTGAAACATTTGTAAAAAATGAGAAGTTATCTAAGAAAAATTTTCAGGATATAGATGACGATGCTTTTAATAGTATGAAGAGTCCAAAGAAAGATAAAAATGTAAACCAAAATGGGTCTGAGAGTGAATCAAATTCATCAGATGAGGAGGGTTTCAAAGACAGTGTTGAAGCTCATAAGGGGAAGAAAAATAAGAAGTTATCAAAGAAGAAAAATAAAATTTCTAAGAAAGTAGATAATGTTGATAAAAGCATGGAATTCCAGAGTGAAAGTGCTGCATCTGATTCAGAGCATGACACTTTTAATAAACTTCGTGAAAAAAAGGTAAAAAATACTAGTAGCCCTGTAAATATGCTTAACAAAAAAGAAAGTGAAAATTTTATCAGTCCTTCAGCTAATGATGAACCTGAAGAAGGTCGTACTGTATCAGTTGGCAATTTACCAATATTGTCTGCTAAAAAAGTATGTAGTTTTTACTAAATAATTTGAATTATACTGAATATGTTATTGTATATGAATGAATGTAATTTATCATAATATATGCTTATTTTCATTTAATAATATGTATCATACATGTATCATATTCTTACTGCCAACAAATTTCATCTTATGATTAAATGACATAACTAAAAATAATTTAGATTAACTAGTAATGAGAAATTTATATCTTAGGTAAAAAAAAAACATTTGAGGAATTTTTTACATTATTTTTGTTTCAGTATGCTATGCTCATAGATGCTACAGGAAATCAAAATGTTAATTTTTGAAACAAAACATGCTCCAAAATGCAGCTGATTTTGTACTGAAACAGAAATTCTGCACCAAATTTCTTCAACAATCAGCTTTAGGCAATTTATGTGCATCCTGCATCAAACTGGAGCATCAAGCCTTGCAATCAAATATGTGTAAATGGCCGCGAAATAGAAATACAGTCAAAAGTCTCTAATCCGGACTCGTCGGGACTTCGACAATTCCGAATTATTGGTTTTTCCGGATTATAGATCATCAGTGTAAATCTGGTAAGAAGGCATGCAGAAATTATAAAATTAAAAATATGAAACCATAATTTATGAATAAAATTAGATATTATTACTTTTCCATTATGCGTTATTTCCTTATAATTTTAATTAATATTCATTTAAAGTCATCCACTACGAAAGTTACATATGGAAAGTTAGGTATGTACAGAGAAAACAGCATTACACTCTGCGAAAAACAAAGGGCCGCTGGGGAGAAATTTTCGCAGACAGGAGAGGGCGGCGAAAGGGTTAATAAACTACTTTTTTTCCCACATATAGTGCACATTAAATTCAGTTATATTAATTTTTTTAATTATCTGAGACGAAAATCGAAACAGCAGGATCAATTCGTAATAATTTTATTTAGAATATGTTACGAAATTACTTTCGAACACTGGCATATTCATTACTTTGACAAGTAAACAAAAATTCTATTCCATAACAGAAACAATAATTCAATTTTAGTAATTCTAAAATAATTTTCATCCAAATAATTATTATTGCTTAAATATATGGGAGCATGCATTTACAGAATAAATTGAGCTCTCACCTGGGTTATTTTGGTTCGACATGGTTTTAGGTTGCGCCAGTAGAACTTTCTTCTTCCCGAGGTATGGCTAATGGAAAAATTCTATCACCTACACTTATAATTCCAGCCATTTGGCTTTTAATTTACCAGACATCTTTAACACAACAACATAATTAAAAATGATTGAAGGAAATGACTACAGATACGGTAAGCAGCGTTCATTTCTGCTTCTGTTCCTTGACACTAATGTGTCTCTATTTTTTTTTTTAAATCATGATCATTTCTCATTCTAATGTTGCCATTCCTGAAAAGCCCGACTTTCTTTTATTTGTAATTTATGATCCTTACACTAAGCTTAAAAAAATAATGATTAGCACCCCTAATTAAAAGTTACATAGTAAATTGAATGGTGTAGCTGAATTTGAAACATGATTTTAATGAATGAAATTAATTTGACTACACAACAATCTCAGTCCTGTAAAATATCTTTCATGTGTGTTAAAGAACTAGTTGTGAGCCTGATCTGAGTATTTCAAAATTGTCACAGAACCAAGGTGTGTCACAGGAGGAATGGAAGAAAGTATCTGCTGAAATGTAAGGAAAGTCTTCTCTGTAAGATAATGCCATAATAATGGCAAACTAACATCACACTGATATCATATTAGTTTCAGCTAAACAATTTCCTGCAGTTACTCAGTCATTAATTTCAACATAATTTGTATCTATTGTGCTGATCAAAGTATCCTTAAAACAGAAATTTTCTGCTGACATCGTAAACTTTTTGAGGTAAAAAAAAAAAAAAAAAAAAAAAAATAAAAAAATAAGGGATTTACTATGCTCTTGCTGCAGTATACTAATATTTAAATAGAACCATTTAAATTTTATGCATTGGTTACTGATTAGCAAGGACTGTCTAGAAATACATCAGTTTCAATTTTATCATTTTTACGGTCTTTGATTGTTGTCTTAATATCTCCATTTGCTACTTAGTGATTATTATGTTTATAATCTGTTAAAAATCTGTGAAGTAAGTACTAGGCAAATGCTTAAAATAGTTTAAAATCTGAAGGAAGAAAACAAAAGGAGATGTTAAAAAATATTTTGAAGCAACACACGCAAAAAAAAAAAGGCCTGTAAGGAGGGGGGGGGGGGGGAATTCAAATGTGACCCACTTTTGAACAAACATTACATAAGTAGCTTTTTATAGAATTATTATTATTATTATTTATTTAAGAATAAGGCAAAAGTGATAAAAGAAATTTTGTTTCATTCTGTTTAGACTGAAAGTTTTCCATAGTTTCACAATGAAGCCCTAGTTTTTGTGACCACTTCATATATATATATATATTTAATTTTTTTCCCCAGTACTTATCAGTCTATTATATGATGTAAATAATAACCTGATATATTTTTATAGGCATATAATTATAATATATTATATATTATTTATAGGCATATAAAGAAAGTGAATTACTTTATGTATTAATTTTTTAACCTTTCTTGCACAGATCTTGTTCAAGCTTTTCTCACCATTTGGACCCATAGAAACAATTAGACTTCGAGGAGCTGTAAGTATTGTACTAAGTCTTACATTTTTAGCATTTATGCATTTGTTGATACTTGCCATTTTCTCAGTGTGAAAGGCATTCTGGAAAAGGACACAAAGAGGTGTATTGATAAATAGTGAGTAAGCAAAACTTAGATTTAAATGCAAGACATGTTCTAACACAGTAAAAATTGTTTCAGGTTGTGTCTACATGTATATTTGATAGTTTGCAGCTGAGTGGAAATGAAATGTAGCACAAGAACCTGAGAACATTTTGATAAATGTTTTTATGCATAGATGGGTAGATTTACTTATTGAATAGTTTCTTTTACTTTACAGACAATAAATTCTAAATTAAGGAATTTATTAAAAAGTTTACAAACTGCATTCATATTTCTTACTAAAAAAATGCTCGTTCGTTTTAGAGTACTAAGAAGAAAAGTACTTTAGAGAAGAAAATATTTGCGAAAACACATGGCAGGGTTGCCACGCTACCTGGAGAACCGGGAAAAGTCAGGGAATTCGAAAATTGACCAAAATATTCAGGGAAAAGTCAGGGAATTTAAGTATTTTTGTCAAAATCTGGAAAAGTCAGGGAAGTTCATACAACGATCCAGCCAAAAAAAGCGATTTTTGCGCGACGTCGGAAGCGGAAAGAGAGGGTAAACTTTTTTGCGCGAATTATGTATCACGTGAGTGTCATTCGGGTAGCTGGCATAGAGCCAATTTTCGCAGCTCCAATTTGATTGTCTTTTAGAGAGGCCAACCAACTTTTGGTTTCCAATATTCTCGAGAATCGCATGTGCAGTGCATGAACTAAAGAAAAGTACCTGTTCTCGTATATAAAACAAAATGGGTTAATTTAATCCTAGTATACGGTACCATGGAGGTTAGAATCAAAGAATATGTATTGTAAAGAAGGAAAAACCTCTCTGCAAAACAGACGTGGCTGTGGCTCCGTTCCATCATAGAGGGAAACAGCTGTGCATGTCTGATATATCTGTTGCCAAAGCTCGAAACCGGTGTCGAAGTTCGAAGGTCACGTTTTCAAGAGTTCATAAAATGAATATCGTTTTTTAAAATTTCTTTAACCACTTGCGCTAAAAAGACGTGCCACGCACGTCAAGATGCTTTTGTCTCAAACCGCGAGCGACGTGAACACGTCGATAAGCATTTATAGCAAAAATGAAAATAACGTGGTGCACACGTCGCCTAACAACGAAATTGTTTATTTCTCGAATTACAGCTCTGGATTGCACTCGCAGATGCGGAGCGGCGTAAATGAGACACTTTACCGCTTGTTATATTGTAGCGCACGGCACCGCAACCGTGAAGTTTAGTCTTAGCGCAAGTGGTTAAACTCTAAAGGAAAAGAAAATATTTTTTGGCGCAAGTAAATTAATTCATGAATTAGTTATTTTCAGGGAAAAAAAAAAAAAAAAAAAAAAAAAAACTACGAAAATCCGTTTTTAAAATTATTGCGAAAAATCCAAGAAGAAACGTCCTTTGATAAAACGTTTTCTAGCGGCGTAATAGCATTTTACTTGTATGGAACCTTTTCTTCTTTACATAGACTTTCTTTGGTTAGAATAATATTGAGATTTGGCGACATCTTGATGCGCAGTAAACGGGTCATTTTGGTCTTGGCGACAATTTTCAAAATCGTGCCAAAGCCTTACCGTATACTAGAATTTTACCGCAAAATCTTTTTAAACCTTTTTTTTTTTTTCTTTTTAATAAATACCTTGCCATTTTTCAGTAAAATAAAAAAATAGTAATCAGTCATCTAGGCTAGCCATGTAATATAACTATATTCGCTAAAATATCGTTGATTATTCTAATTCAATTTTTAAGTAATTATTTTTATGTCATTCATATAATTTAATGTCGCTTTTCCCTCTAAATTTATTTATTATTAGTAAATAATATTTCCAAATTTCAGGAAATTTTCTCTGGCATAACCTTGAAATGAAATTAATTATAGCAGTATGATGACATACCAAATTTAATGCACATATTTTTTCCTTATGTATGCTGCGAAAATAAATATAAAATGCCTCAATTTATTAAAATAGATTTCTTTCTTTCGTTTAGCTGCAGAATGTCTGCAAAAAAAAGCCTTATTTTTATTCCAGATTGGGAAGATTCTAATTTCAATCTTCAGTGGAGAAAACAACAACTATTATAATTATATTTGTGTTTTCAAGTGTTAAGGTGCCTTTTAAGAACATACCTCACGCAAATTAAATTTACCTAAAATCTAACCTAACTATTTAGCATTGCATTGTGATTTATAAGGACCGGATTAGCCTTGTGTTGAACTGGTGATGATCATGAGTAATAATTAAATAAAACATACATTTGTTATCCAATATATATATCAAAATTATCAAACAAAGTATACCAAGAATAATTAAGAATAAATGTCCTCTGGGATTTAGTGAATAATTAAGTGAATTTGCTACACAACACAAGTAATACCATAATTAATTTACCTCTTGGCACAGCCAACGTACATTACGCGAATAGACTGGAATTTTCTTGAAACACACCTGGAAAACCTGGAAAAGTCAGGGAATTTCATTCTCCTGTTTGAGTGGCAACCCTGACATGGAGTTTGGAAAATTCCACACAATTTGAAGAAAAGAATTAATATTGAGATAGAAAATCATCAAATCAAAAGGGGGAAATTCTTTTTATTGTGCTGTGATAAAATAGGTAACATTATCATGCTTGATAGTCAAGAGAAGCCATGGCATTTATTAAGGGATAAAATGTCATTAGGCAGGATTTGAATCCTTGTAATTGCTCTTTATTTAAAGGGTGTATAATCAGTGAACTTTTTACTGTCAGACTGCTTTTTTTTATCTATACCATGATTTTAAAGTGTTTTATTCTAATGCACTGCTGCAGGATGCATTTATTTTAGTTGAGTATCAATACAGCACTCAGATGCATAAAATTATAAAGTAATATACAGTACAAAGCACGAAATCCGGACTGGTTGGGACTTCGGCGATTCCGCATTTTGGATTTTTACGGATAATGGATCATGAATTTAAATCTGGTAAGATGGCATGCAGAAATTATACAAACAAAAATATTAAATCATAATTTATGAAATAAAGAGCAATTATGATCTAAAGGGTATCAAAATTTACAAAAAAAAAGCTTAATATTTATTCAGGGTTAGTAGCGGTCCTTATATTTGAAAATAAAATATAAAAGTCCTTATAGGTGCTTACTTTTTCTCTAAAGCACTTAATTTTTTTTTTTTTTTCAGTGCTTATTTGTTGCTTTTAGTTCTTTTTTTTTTTAAATGAACGTACATTTTTTCCCCATTCCAAAGCCAAAACTAAATAAACAACTTTTCTTCCTTATATGGAATGTCAGATGGTGAATCATACTCTTCGAAATAGCTTTTCACCCTTTTTCTGCATTAACGTAACTTTTGGTGTGTGTGAGTACAAACAGGTGCATGTCGTTCTATTTGTCAAAGAATTGCGAAAGCGGTAGAAAATTCCTGTAAATTCCGTTTCTTTTGCTCCCACCCAAGTCTACACATGTTTGATTTTTCTATCAAGATTTTAATCATTTACATTCTTGTTCCACGTGGTCAGGTCATATTCGCATTTATTATGATCGATATGCTTGTATTATGAGCAAATGTATGATTATTTATAATAATATATTTGCAGTAACTGCTGAAGTATAGATAAACTTCAAAAATAGGTAAGTCTGTTTTAACACAGATTAGTTTTCTAAGGAATAATATTCGGAATGGCATAAATAAAGTAATCGAATAGTCAAAATATTTTTTTTCCAATGCATTATACAGTACAGAAGTTATGAGTTCTCCCCTTTCTCTGCAAAATCTTGAATATTAAAACTGTTACAGTTCGCAGCAAAGCAAGCAATGGATTTTTTTGGGGGGGTCACTTTTCAACCTGGATTGAATGGTACTGAAAGTTCTGCAGTCTACCAACCCAAGGGAAGAATGATTATATTCCGGAAATTTAACGCAGTCTGTTCAAAATTAGAATGAAAAACCCTCCCAGACTGTAAATCTCGCGTGACGCGTCCTGCTCAACGATAAATATGCCACGTTGGTGCGTGCCAGTGAAAAAAACGGACGAAGCTAAGGGGCGTTTTCCTTTATTTAGTTATTTATTCTTCGAATACTGGCAGCTGTTGATTCCGAGTGCGTAATATCACATGCAGAAGAATTAAGGCGTGCATATTGTGTAATAACGTTTGCGATATTTCGCAGAGTAAAAGAGTTTTACTGTGCTTGTTAAGCAGATTATTTTTATTATTTTTATATTATATTATTATTATTTTTCAGTTCCATTGGGCTATTTTTTATATGATGCACATATCGAAATGTATAAAGCATTGTTTAGCTGAAAAATCTAAAGAACAGCTGCAATCTTCCCCCTTCCTCTTTTACCAGTTACATTCGACTATCCGGAATTTTCGGATATTCGGCAATTTCCAAGTATGCCGGTTATTTAAGCTTTGACTGTGTGAAGCAGTTTCCTGTCTTCTGATTTCAGAAAAGTTTATTTTTACTTAAATTACTTTGCTTGAAATATCTGTTAAGGGAAAACTGTTTTTAAGTTAAATTATTTAAATATTAATATAAGTGGGAAAATAAATTGTTTTTTATGTGCCAAGCGAATATAATAGATATGGCTTATTATTATTTATTTTCTCTGTTTTGAACTGAAATTTCATCATTAATCTTGTAATATTATTTTAGTTCTGCATAGTTTTTTTATTTTTCCCTCTCATTTTAAACTAGTTCTGTAAATTGAACTGTTTTATTTAAAATAATATATATATATATATATATATATATATATATAATTGTTTTCATGGTTGAGTAAAGCTCATTCTCTCTTAATAAATACTCAATTCTCATATTTTAAATTACAAGTCTAATTTTTTTTAAGGTTATGCAGTTGTGTATAATGTAATTAGACAGGTACTTATTTTTTTCTTGAAAAGTGCTTATAGGTGCTTATTTTTGTAACTAAAATGTGGCTACGAACCCTGTTTATTTGTTTACTTTATTAAAAATTTCTTTCAATGTAAGTTGTTTAAGATGCTTCCACAAAAAATTCAAAAAGTTCCTTTTTCTTTTGTAACATACAGTGGACTTTCCAGTGCCATACTCCTCGCGTAATTTTGAGACGGATATGCCTTTATCCATTTTTTGCAACAATTCCAATTATTTTTTAATGGACATCAAAATATGGTTTCACTTTGTAGATCCTTTGTAACTCCAGAATTGGAAACTCTTTTTGACATAATCGAAAATTCAAGCTTAGTTTTTATAAAATTGCCTTAATAATAACAGTCTGCAAAAAATAATAAGCTGGATCAAATTAGAAGATTGGGGAGCAGCACAGTCTGCTACATTAATTGAAATGCCTTAGCATCATTAAAGATAATTTTAGCATAGCTGTTTCGAAGCGAAGTTGTTTCGCTAAATTTTGCCTTGTTCCTATTGTGTACTGAATTAAGCCTGAATTGTATTAGTTTAGTTATTTACTATACCTATGTTTAATTCTTGCACATGCTTCAAACTAATCAGATCCTGAATAAATAAACTCCTACATATACTTAAGGCTTTATCTAGGGCCAGCGCTCGATACCGCCTGGTGCAGTCTCTACGAGGTCCTAAATTCTGCTACAAAGCGCTTTCCTAAGTTTTAAATTTTCACCATACCTAAACTTTGGATCCCAGTGCTTTCTCTAAATCACAAAAACTTCTCAGCCCTTAATTTTCCCGCTTGGTGCTTCCCCAAATTCCAAAAATTTCGTTTTCCTTAAATTCTGCTGTCTGGTGCTGACATATTCTGCCACCTTTTCTGGGTTTATGGGGAATAACATATCAGTTATTCTTAATTAAAATAGCACTAAATGTAATCTTTTGGCCTATGAGTTTCATTAACAAAATCTATTTTTAGCATACGAAAAGAAATTTTTGTTGAATTTTCCCTCGTCAACATTTCTTAAAAGCATTTAAAAATCTATAATCATCGCCAAGCATAATGTTAGCATAAAAAGTTGCCATACTCTTGTTATTCAGTTACTAATGTAAAAAAAGTTTAGACATCCCAGCATGAGTTATTACTGAAGCTGTCGTGTATTGATAAACATGTGCTGATGGAAGCAAAATATAATAAATAATGACTTGCCAGATCGACGTCAAGGATATAAAATAGGTGAACGTTTCGGTTTGAGATGTATGCGAAGTAGATACTCAGCTACGGAGCCAAATTATTAATCTCACAAATTTATGCTTACATGATTGTTTTTCCATAATGAAGTATTTTATTTAGTGCCTAAGTGAAATTAAGAATCGGAATTTTTAATTGAAAAGCTCCACATGTTTTATTATGGAAGGAAAAATAAAATGTGCATGCTTAAAGCATTAATTTAAAAAAAAAAAAAATGTTTGCGGCTTTGAGGTCTGAATTTTAGATCATTCCGAATAACGGATGTCCGGATTTCGGACTTTGTACTGTATTAGCAAAAATATTTTATATAATTGCCTAATACTACTTTTGGGGGGGGGGAAGGAGGCAAAAAATTTTCATAATCTGCAAAAGTTCAAAACATTATAAATGATAGACTTTCCACTTAAAAAGTGTTGGATATGTGATGATACTCCTTGCCCCAAAAATTATTTGGGGAAAATCACCAAAAATCAGTAAACTAGGTTAAAGATTAAAATTAATTTCATTTCAAAGATTAGTGTCTGATCTATCTGATGGTGCAAGGATTCAAATTCTGTGATTATTTCAATCACAAAGCAAGGTTATGTATGAACAATCCATAAAATTTGCTTCAATATTAAATTTTTAAAAAAATCAGATTTTTTCAAAGTTGTTTTGATGTGTGTCCTTTCTGGAGAATCTTGTCATAAATTTTGTAGGTCTGGGCCTTTCTATTTCTGTGCTTATTCCGTGTTGTACAAATACAGGTTTTGTTTTTTTTTTTTTTTTTTTTTTTTTTTTTTTATAATTATTGTAGACTTCATCAATTTTGTTTCCTTTATTATTATTTATATATGGTTAACTTAAAAAATACATGTTAATGTATATATTGATATTTTTTAGATACCTGTAAAACCTAATATGCCTATGAAAGTTGCCGAAATTACGTAAGTTAATGCTTTGTTTGTATTCATTAACTGTATATATTTATTCTCAGCTCTAAGAGAAACAAAAGGAAGATTTTGGGTTTATTAACAATATTATTCTAGTTCTTTTAACAAAATGTAGAATTTATATTTTTTCCCCTCTGGTTTTACATATATGAGCCGCCCAGATGGTACAGTAGTTAGGGGAGCTGACTGCGATACCGAAGGGCCCAGGTTCGAATCCCGGAGAAAGCATGGTTGTAATTGTCCATTCCTTCATAGAAGGTAACGTTGGCTGCCTGTGAAGTGCCTCCACAATAAAATGGTCACTGCTTCCAGCCTTAGGAGTGGCCAGTGTCGAAAAAAGATAAAATAGTGCCCGCCAAATGAAAAAAAAATTATATATATGTTAAATTTTATAATAAATAGGCATCTAAACAGCATTCAGGAGTTCAGTTCCTTGGAAATAAAGCTTTTAATTCTGAAAACTGTTTATTAGGCTCATATGTAGGTAATTCTGAAATGCTTGAGACAGGGGCAGACAATTTGTGTTTTTTTTTTTTTTTTTTCCTTTCCTATTGTTAGATGTGTAAATTTGAAATCTTTTGTGTCTCCAGATGATGATTTGTAGCAGGCATTGCATAAATTTTGAAAAATTGAGAGTGAAGCTGACCTTAGAGCATTTTTGCACTTTAAAATCAAAGTGGAACTGCATCATGAAGAATGTCTTCATTGTCTACGATTAGCATATGAAAATGAAGCTACCTCTAATGCCACTGAATCCAGGTGGCTTACAGAATTTTATAGAGTACAAAATTCATGCATGAATGAAGAATACAGAGGAAGACCTTTGTCAACTGCAATCCCATAAAATGTGTCGACCACATGAAAAATGTTTGTCATTGATAATCGCTATACCTATCAAATGATACAGAAAGAACTTAGCATTGGATCTGCAGCTGTACGTAAAATTACTCTTAAAGAATTGCATACGAAAAAAATAATTTATTGTTGGGTCCTCTATAAATTAACAGGATATCAGAATGTGAAGCATCTCAGAATCAGTAACAAAACCCTTAATTTGCTTAATGATGATAAACATTACATTATTTCTAAAATCATACCAATATGTGATGACTAATATTTCTTAGCATTACAAAAATCTTTGAAAATAATCTCAAATCAACAACTCTGAAAAGGCATTGAGGAATGAAAAAAGTAATATGTTCTATTTTCCTGAGAAGTACAAGCATCGGTCAAAATTATCAAGTTCGAGAAAACAAAAGAAATTGGTTTATCATTTAGTGTCTGTCAGAATTTTTTCATCGTGCTTCACCATGATAATGCATCTTCATAATCAGCAAAACTGACATTGGAGATTTTTGAATAGAAGCACATTAAAGTGATTGAACATCCACTCTATTCTCCTGTTTGTGTGTACTTTGGGCTATTTCTTAATCAAAAACAAATTTTACACAGCTGTTGTTTTCATTCCAAAGAGGAGACTGATGAGGCTGAAGAAGCTTATTTTTGATCAGTTCCAAGAAATGGATGGCTTGAATCATTTTGCCTATAAAATGCATTGATTTTGGCATACTTTGAAAAATAATTTTAGATTGATCCATTTGAAACAATGTAATAATACTGGTATTATTAAGTTATCATTAGGGTATTTATCATGGTGAAAAGGGGACAGGTATCTTAAGGCAAATATATATTTAAACTAGGAAGTTTTATGGCTTGATATGTATATTAAAACTATCATGAAAAATTTACTTCTTAGCATTACATTAAGAATTGAAAAAAAATATAAAACTGCTTTGTTTAAACTAGGTAGAAAGTAATAACATAAACATCTAGCATAAGATTAAACAACCATAATATTTATTATATGTTTTATACATGATATTTATATATTGGATTCATCGGAATCACCTGCAGTGCTTATTCTGCATTCTTACCTTGCATGTAATTAGGAATGCTTGGAATATGTAATAGAGGAACTAAATCGTGTTCTATAATGATTAATAGTTTTTACTTGGTTCAAATGACTTGAGAAGTGTTTAGGGAGGCCTGAGTAATCCTGCTTACTCCATGTCATTGTGTATAGCATATTCTATTGAAGAATGATCCTTCTCGACACTAGCCTAGTGATACATTGTTGACATGATGCAATTCGTTATGCTGTCAATGATGTCATGTTTTTTGAAAGCCATCTTTCAGCAAAATATAACAAACATGATGAACATCTCCAGGGAATATCTTATGCAATATTGTGATTGTGTCTTGGCTCTGCCTGTTCTCTAAACCTTTTTTGCTTAGTCAAACTGTATGGGATATCATAGACTGCTGGTTACAGAGCAGTATTTTATAAAGTGCAGGAGTTCACTGAACTTGTAGAACATGTGGCAGAATGTTCTGCAGGATGACATGTAGTATTTATGAGTTCATGCTAAGCTAAATATTTTCATGCCTTGTTGCTAGAAGCAGTAGTTCATATTAATATGTAATGGTTCTTGGTCTGCATATGTTCAATAATGTAAATGGATTCCTTGTTATCCAATTGTTATCACTTTTGTCTCAGTCTACTCATTCTCGTATCAGGTTCCGTCATGATATAAAAATTGGTGTTGAGATTTCATTGATGTAGTGTTTATTAGTATCTTGTATTTGCTTTCCTTCAGACTTTGTAATCTGTTATATTGCCTTCAAGTGTCTTGACTGTTTGATGTACTGAAAGCAAAAAATCTGTGTTCATAGTTTTTTGTCTGAAAAATGTGTATTTAAAATATGCTATTTCAAAATTTTTACTTAATCTTATCTTTTAGGGAAAGTTTTCATAGTAAGCTGCATAATCTCCGTGGATTTGTGACATTTAAAGAAAGAAGTAGTGCTGTGGAAAGCTTAATTTTGTAAGCTTTAATCATTTTCCTTTAATTTTTTAATACTCTCATTAAATATTTTATGTGAATATTAATTTTATTTAAATTTTATTATGTGAATATTTTATTACTATCCTAATCAATTAGGATTTAACATGTTGATCACTGCATTGTTAAAGCATGATTCTAAGAATTACCAGGGTAGTATTCAGGGGGGACAAAATTTAATACGGTTAAATACATAGACTTCAACCTACAGCAAAACTTGTCAGTAGTCAAGGTGCAAACAGCATTTTTACAGCTTTGAAAATGCATGAGTAAGGCATATTTTTTAATTAATGGTTAATTGTGATCAATTTAATTTCATTTAACTTAAAGCCCATACATATAATGGGCGCCCGCATGTGCTGTTTTGTGAAAGAGCCACAGTTTGCCAACCACTGCACTAAGCTATGAGCTAAGTAAAGTTTTGTGTTTATTTGCAGGTTAATTATATGCAAATTAATATTTACGTCATTGAACATTTTAATTGCAGCATATTCTTTCGAACTACCTTCTAATTTTGACTAATAGTGTAAAGTGCTTCAGTTTATCCAAGTTTCAAAACTAGTCTGGGATTAGTGTTATATATGTAAATTTTTAAAAAAAAGTAAAAGAGAAAATGTAACTATTTTAATATAAAGTTATGTTTGAGAAACTCTTATTTCTTTTGACGTGTTAAAACTTATTTTATGTATCATTCATATAAAATAACAGGGGGACCGGAAAATAATATAACAGTTGCGACCAAAACATTTGTGATGTTTATCCACATGCATTAGACATTCGTAAATGCCAAAGATATACCATCAAAGATGGTATATCTTTGGCATCAAGTTCAAATTCGTTAATTTTGATCTCTTTGACTCCTATCGATCAGGAAGAGTAACAACATTAGACAATGAACATGCTAAGGGCAGAAGTGAAAGCAAATCCATGTCAAACAATCGAGGAACAGTCAAACACCTTTAGCCAAGTTTGGTCGACCATCCAAAAGCACTTAAAGCAGATTGGAAAAGTAAGCAGAGCAGGTGTTTGAGTGCTCCATAATCTGTCCGAATAGAACAAAGCCATCCGATCCATCACTTGCAATGTATTGTTTCAACATTGCCATACAGAATAATTTTTTTTGATCGTTTGATTACTAAAGATGAAAAATGGGTCCTATATGATAATCCAAAATGCATAAGGCAGTTTTAATAAGGATTGCAAAGGGTTCACATCCCAATAATGCGCTTATGTGTGTTTGGTGGAGTATTCGCGGAATTGTTTATTTTGAATTGCTGAGACCTGGACAAACTGTTAATGCAGACCTTTATTGTGAACAATTCGATTGAGTGAACCAGTCTTTAATCGAAAAATATCTGGCGTTTGTCAACAGAAAAGGCGTCATTCTGCTAAACGACGAGACCGCACTGTGCAAGACAAACACTGGGGAAAATTGATGAATTGGGGTGGAAGGTACTGCCTCACCCATCATACTCGCCCGATATCGCACCCTTGGATTTCCATGTATTCTGATCCCTACAACATATTCTTAGTGGCAAAAAATGTCAAAATTAGGATTATGTCCAAAATACCATCTTGAGATATTTTACTCAAAAACCAATTGATTTTTATTGGTCTGGGATTGAACATCTGCACACTAGATGGCAAAAGGCTGTTGATAACAAGGGTGATAAAATAATTGATTAAAAATAAAAATTGTTAAAAATTTATTCATTTGAATTTAATGTAAGAAAGAGACATTATTTTCCGGTCCCCCTATTAGATAAAATTTTAATTCTTTTTATTTATTTATTGCATGTAGAATGTGAAACTACATGCTAAATGTAGAAATTTACCAGCAAAATTAAAGTTAAAAACCTTTCTTTTTTATAACCAAAATAAAAACATTTTTAATGCTTTCACATAATTATATCAGACAATAGCATTCAACTAAAAAAGTTAACAGTCTGAATTTTAATTTTTTAAAGGCATATAAAAATTTTTTAAATTAAAAGAAACTTGCATTTTCATAACATGCTACTGTTTGTAAATTGTAAAATGCTGCTTATTGCTGTGAGTTTTAGAATAAGCAGAAACACTAGCTGTTCTAAAAATATTTAATAAATTTAAAAAAGTAATTGTGATTGATAGTATAAATAATAGAAGTTATTGTTTTATATTATCACAGGAGCAATTTCCTTTGACATTGTCTTGCCATACATCTAATTTCTCATTTTTATTCAGATATCACATGGGAGCAAAAGAGCATCCCCTTATTCAGATAAAGTTGTGTGAAACTAAATGAATGAGGGATATCCTAACAATATATTTGGTAGATGATCCAGTTTCAAGATTTTTTACTTTCTTTATATGATTGGTTAGATGCCCTTTAATTTCTTCTTGTGGATCATATTTCAAAGAAAATATATTAGGATCATAAATACTGAATAATCAAGAAATCGAGACTTAGTTTTATGAATCAGTTTTGGTGTATACTTGAACTGAAAATGAGTTCATGTACACACCAAAACTGAAAAATATACTTTGAGCAACAAAAATTTTACATATTGAAGTTTATTAATAATATGATAAAAAATTTATTAATTTCTCAAGGAGTATCTGTAAATTTTGTTATTTGTGTACCCCCATCCCAAAGTAATTTTTGTAAATTCATCAAGAATGTTTGGACTACCAACTATGCACCTACTATTCTTTTGAAACAAACTACTGCATGTTTACGAATTTCTTTCTCTATAAGATAAGCAAGACGTAGTTTTTGTAGTCACTTGACTGTTGAATAGAATTCTAATACAGTACAAAGTCTCTAATCCGGATGTCCATTATCCAGAATGATCTATAATCCGGACCTCAAAGCCACAAACTTACGCATGCGCGTAAAGTCAGTAAAGTGTTTACCCATGCACACTTCCGATAGTGAAAGAAAGTAACAGAGAACGTTATTGAAAACGAAAAAATTTCGATAGACAAGTTAGTCGGTATTCTCGACACAGCAATTACAGGACTTGAGCAGTGGAACTTTGTAACTGAACAAGAAATTATGTCTGTTTATAGAATTAAAGAGAAAGTATTAGCACAAAAAAACAAAGCAACTTAAACAACTTACATTGATAGAAATGTTTACTAAAGTAAACAAATAAATATTAAGCTCTTTTTATTAAATTTTGATACCCTTTAGATCATGATTGCTCTTTATTTCATAAATTAATGTTTCATATTTTTAATTGTATTATTTCTGCATTCCATCTTACCAGATTTAAATCGATGATCTATAACCTGGAAAAAACCCTAATCCAGAATCGCCAAAGTCCCGATGAGTCCGGATTACGGACTTTGTACTGTATTCTGCTGTATAGAGAAGAAATGTTGTAACAGATATTTCACAGTTATTAGATTGAATATTTCGTGCATAAATTTGTAAAAAGGTACAAGTGCTGATGAAGAGAACCTGTGAAATTGTCCAGTGGAGTTTATCACATACATGAATATACATTATTTTGTAAGATACTCTATCATGCAATTTTAATATACTCTTTTCAGAAATGGAACTCTTGTTGATGATCGACATATATTTGTGGATCTTGCTGGTGCCCCTGGCGAAAAGAGAGCTTATGATGATAAGCGAACAATTTTTGTTGGAAATTTGCCATTTGGTAATGTATCTATTTCAATTTCTTTCTTTTTTATTTGTTGATATTTTATAAGTAGCGTGTTTTTTCTCCCTGTCTCATCCAAAATTTGTATTATTTACTTAATGTGAGTAAAAGATGATCTCATATATTTCAGGCCTTTTTAACTTTCTGTCCAACCCCTTTTCAGACACTGCTGAATGTGTTTAATGTTAATAAAGTTCTACTTCATTACTTCTTTAATTTGAAACTTTCAATTTTTCATGCTATTCTAAGAATTTTGTAGTTTCATGTTAAAGTTATTGGTTCTCCTCAAAAATAATGCTTTTCCTTGTTAAGAGAGCAAAATCAGTTTAATCATAGAAAATCTTTGTAAGTCCAGTAAACTCATTTAATAGTTCTTCAAAATTTAACAGTAGTTAAAATAAATAAATAAATAAAAAACCTAAACTGACCAGTCCGCACTGGAAGAGATTTAAAATGTTAATTCGAAATAACTCCCCTCCCCCTTTCTGGATTAGAAAAATATCATTTCTCATTCAAACAGTCTCTGTGCGAAATTGCAAACTTAAGACAGTTGCATATAAAAGACAATTAAAAAGACTAAGACAGTTACATATAAGAAACAATTGAAAACACAACACCAATTGTAATTCCAAAAAAAGAGACTTTCACCCAAAGAAGATAATGCTATATATATATTGGAATATGGATAGAATTATCTATCATGAGTTGCTTCCTGAAGATCTGATATTATCACTAATCAGTGGTATTGAGGACTAGTGACATGACTAAAGCATTTTTTTCTGATGAAAAAAAATGTGCACTAGCTAACAGAAATGTTTACTTTTCATCATGATATTGTGCTCAACTTAATACAACATGAGAAGCATTGTAAAAATTAAGGCAGTTTGAATGGAAAATTAGGACTTACCTATCATATTCATTTGGCTGAGTGTGAATAGTTTACCATCTTTTTTCATAACCTTTTTGAAATATTGTACCTGTAGGGAACTCAGTTCATTGTACTAAAGCACACAAAATTATATCACCAGGATTAAAATTCTGATGGGCACAAATTGTAAATAATAGTGATGAATGTATCTTAAAATTTAATATGAATTTTTCAAAAATTTAAAATTTATTATTAAAAAAATTGCATTTACTTATGAGATAATATTTTGGAAATTCTAAAATTCAGTAGTACTAACCACTATATTTTGGTATATTCAAAGAACAGAGGGAGTTCCCCCCCCTTCATAAATGTTTTTAAGTTTGTTTTGTTTAATCTTTTAATACTCCATTGACTATTTTCAGATTAAAGTTTTTTAAGCAAAATTACCTCTATTTAATTCCTTTGAAATTTTATTTAAATTCCTGGAGTAGTTTGTAAATAATTATAATAGATTATTTGCAAACGAAATGCATTACTAAATATTAGAAGAAAATTTAATTTGCTGTTGAAAACTCATATGCAAAATATAATTTTAAAAATGAGTATGTGTTCATTGTTGTTCTCAAAGAACTTTGATTTGCACGTGGGAAATAATCAGTAATAAATTTTCAGTTGAATTTTGGTTTATTGGGTTTCCAATCATATCCTGAAAAGTATGTCTTTTATCTAAGTACATGAAATAGGTTTGCAAAATACACTCACTTCCAAAAGTTAAGCACGGAGAGGAAAATGCTAATTTCCAGAAGTCAATCAGAATTGAAGAGGATGCAATTCGTTGCAGAGGTATATGGAAGTATGCAAATATGTTAGGCAACAACCAATTGTGCTTTCATGTCAAGAAATATGCAAAAAAGCCAGTCTTATAAGAAGCCAGCTTTATGAAGGCTTACAGAAGTTGATTGTAAGTGCTGATAGAAGGTGTTTAAAAATTTCATACAATTTGTTTTCAAGACATACGTGTTTCTATGACTTCCAGAAGACGAATGGAAGATTCTGAGCGCTGGCGCGTTGTGGGGCGCAATGAAGCAAGACGGTCGATCACAGATGTTACTCTTTTCTTCGGTGTTCATCATTCTGTAATTTCACGTTTATGGAAACAATTTCAAACCACAGACAGTTGTCCGAAGTCCCATAGCCGGTCACCCAAGAGTTACAACCCCCACTGAAGATCGATATATTGCTATTGCAGCCAAGCGGAATCACAGAGCGACCTCCACACGTGTGACATCTATAGTTACAGTGTCCATTGGTAAGGCGATATCTGCAGCTACTGTACGCCGACGATTACATACGAGTGGACTGTACGCCCGGGTACCTCGAGTTTGTGTTCCTCTATTCGTCCAATCAAGAGGGGGGGCACGATTACAGTGGTGCCGGGAACATGTCAATTGGAATGTGTCCGACTGGGGCAATGTCATGTTTACTGATGAGTCAAGATTTTCTCTGGAGCCAGATGACAAGTGTATAAGAATATGGTGTTAACAATGAACGCTCAATCAGTCCCAAAACATCACCGAACATCACGCATTCCGAGGCGGAAGCATTATGGTGTGAGCAGGGATTTCATTAGGATACTGACCTGCACATCTTTAAATGGGTTCTTTGACAGCTGTCCGGTATCGAGATGAAGTCCTAGAACCCATTGTGAGATTTTATGCTGCAGCAGTTGGCCCTACTTTTGTTTTAATGAACGATAATGCACGTCTCCATCATCGATGACTACCTGGAGAGTGAAGAGATTGCACGGTTGGCATGGCCAGCATATTCGCCCGACCTTAATCCCATTGAAAATCTTTGGGATGCTTTCGGCCGTGCTGTATCTTCATGTTTCCCACCTCCAGCCACTCTTATTGAGCTGGAAACTGCTCTACAAAAAGAATGGCGATTGCTTAATTCTGTGGTGGTTGACCAACTAATTGAAAGCATGGTCACAGGGTGTAAACTTTGTATACAGATGAGGGCAGGAGATCACATACCCTATTAATGTCCTTTTTTTTTTTTTTTTTTTTTTTCATTTTATGCTGTTTATTTTCACTTTATGCATAATTCTGTTTAAGTCTCCAGTATGTCATTATCTGATAACTTACAAAATTTAATATTTCTGTATATAATTATTGATTGTGTTTTATGCATAAATATATATGCTACTTTTCTGCCGAATTTTGTATCAATCAAAGCAGTTTTTTTTTTTTTTTTTTTTTTTTCTCCTTCCATTTTACATCTTTGTGCTTAACTTTTGGAAGTAAGTGTACCTTTTCACAGCTTTCTTGAAAAAATAAGAGTTTCAGCTAATAAAAAAGGTGCTTCATTTTAGAATATCAGGCAAACTAATCAAACAGGAATGTTAATTTAAGCAGTGCAATTAAACTTCATTAAGCGATAGCTCTTGAGATAGGAAAAATAGAGCTATTATCTGAAGGATTTGTTACTGGAAGTTGTAATCTTTAGCTGTGCAAGTGATCAAAATAATTAAATACATAAAATGAAACTGATTTAATATTTTGCAATATACATTTTAAAGCATTTATACAAAGGAATAAATTAACAGATAATGCATACTATTAATGTAGTAAAGAAAAATATTTTGAAATTAATGTTTGATTCTTCAGAAGCTAATGATAATTCTAAACTCAGTTTTATGTAAATCATCCTAATCTTTCTTTTCCTTTTTTTTTTTTTAAAAAACTCACCCATTTGAGGAGATTTCTTCATGGCCATTGTGGATTCTAAATAGCTGTAACATCCATTCAGATTTGCCATTTGTTCTTTCAATGTACTATAGACCTAACACTTTTGGTGATGAAGTACAAGACAACATTTGATCGTACGATTTTTCTATGCTTACCCTCTTCCAGGAAAAACTCTGCTATGCATCTATCTCATCCTCAGTTCTTTTAACAACAAAAAATCTCTGACATATTTTAAAAAATTTTCAATGTTTTTTCTAAAAATTGTGAAAAGTATTTGAATGGCATTAAGAATCAAAAGACAGGAATTTAGTTGTCATTAGTAACTTTGATCCAGTCTTTGAGTAGAAGCCTTTGATAATTATACTTGAAAATCCGAATAATTATTTTGCTTAATGACTTCAGAACGCATGTGCGATGATTTAAGATTTTGGATATGATCTCATTTGCTGACTGTCGCTTGATAATTTTATGAGCGATACAATAATCTCCAATGAGAACGGCTTTTTGTTTCTCATGTTGAAATTTTTATCCATTATCTTTGATTACTTTCTACACAAAGTTCAAAAGACATCCTCACTTAGAGTTAATATTGTGTTTGACAGACAGGAATTTCACATTAATATTTTTAAAGCACCTTGGTGTCAAATATTTGTTTGCATCAAGTGACTTCAGTTGTTTAATAATAATCATGTCTACAAACTAAAACACAATCATTTGTTTGATGTAACATTTTCAGTGATCAAGAGCAAAGTGTAAACCATGCTTCGAGTTCAAATATTTTGATATCTGTGTCCTTAAGGCAAGCAAACTGCTGCACATTTAAGAGCACAGTCTTTGCTTCCCCCCTTTCACTCACAGTGTGTTTTAGAGTGAATGCCGTATTTTTTAGTTAAAAAAACATTTCAATGTTGATACCAACGTAAAACATCTTTCAAAACTCACTTTTATCACTCTTCTATGGAAATAATGCACACTAGGCTTGTCTGACAAATAGCCAGCGAGCCACATTCTGCCTCACTTATTACCATTAGAAACTTTTTTAAGTTAATTTTAAGCATTCATAATAGTATGCAACTCCTACCTGCCTAGAAAGGGATGCTTTCATGGAGATTTTTCTGAGGCTCATATTCGTGTTACACTGGGGAGAACTATGTTTATGTTCCTGTATTCACTAAGATAAGGAAATATTCTATAACTTCTGTAAAAAGTGTTTTTTATGCAATGAAGGTGGACAGTTTGTTTTATACCAGTACCAGTTTTCTAAACACTTTGATACTCTCTCTGCCTGTGAATTGTTCTGTTCATCCATTAAAAATTAAGGATTTCCATTTCATTAATTATTTTTCCTCATATTTCAAGTATCATTTTAAGATGATTTTCAATATGAGCATATTTTGATTCCTGTCATTGCTAAATATTTTGAGTAATATATGTAAGGATTCTCAGCGTCTTGAAAATTCGAATTTTTGAAGCCTTTTGCTCTTCTTTTCATTGATCTTGTATAATCAGTAATTGAGTTTGTCTTTTGATGCAATAGTGTAATTAAAAGATGTTTTTGAAATTTTATGCTTTTTGATAAATTTTGTGTTTTTCAAATAATATAACTTTTAGATTTGACATGCACAAATACATTTTTGCTACTATTTTTGTAAAGAAACAAAGTATGTTTTATCTGTGTAATTCTGTTTCTCCAAAATTCATGAAAGAGAACTTTTGCTCTAAAATTTGTCTTCTTTGGAAAAGAAGAAGGAAAAATTAGCATAAAGCTTGAAATTTGCTCTTTTGGAGAGTAGGAAACATGATGGCTTCATTACAATGGGTATTCTCTTCTCCAAACGATGACATACTAATCTTTCTTTGTTACCTAACTGAGAAATTGGTTGACAGGCTGTTAAAATCTGAGAACAACAACTTTCCCTGCTTGGAGATGAAAAACAGAACTACAGTAGGAGTTACAGTGGAACTTGAAAAGTAATCAGTTTAATATAAACCTTCTGTGATAGAGGTTAGCATACCATAGTTTGCCTTCTTGATAGAGATTCAGGCTATATGCTAATTTGTTGGAGCACTAAAGTATACTGTATTTTGCAAGTTAATAGCTGCCAGTGCTTATGTATGCACTTTCAAGTTATTATTGAATGCATTCGTGTTGTTTGAGATCATGCTGCAGGTGCTGGTGAAAGAATTGCTACATTATATTTTGTGTGTGTATTTTATTCATAACATAAAAATACCATGCACTAAAATTATAAATTGCATTTTTTATATTTATTCTTTTGAATCTATTTCTTTCTTTTATATCATTTTATAGCATCTTATTTCCTTACTTTTGCATCTAATTTTAAGGTTGGGGGGGGAGAAATTCTGTGGTGTTTTAGCCAGTGGTTATTTTATGAATGCTGCATTTTGCTTGAGCATATTGAAGTATTATTTAAATATTGCTAATTGTTGACCTATACTTTGAATAATGTCTTAACGATAATATGTCTTTTAATACTTTCAACAAATTTGTGTGTAATAAACAAGTGCCAAATATGTGTGTGATAAATAAATGCCAGTTTTTTATACTTGTCAAATTATTATTAGAATTTAATAGGATATTGTTACAGTTTAAAAAACTTAATTTTGCTCTATATAGCATTATGCAAATGAATATTAGTATATTTGCTGAAGCTGAAATTATTCCCTAGATTTATGGCTTATTTTGCTCTATTTGTTCCATAGCCTAAGAATACGAGTCTGTTGTAGATAAATGCAAAAAAAGGGGCTAGGGGAAAGAAAATTTAAAATTTAATATTTGCTGTTTGAATTGTTGCTACAAAGTGCATTTTTATAGTTATGAAAAATATTTAATAAAAGTTCTGTAAAGAGATATTTTATTTATACATAGCCAATGAAATGTCCATCTTTTGTGTATAAAATTCTGTTGATTTACATTCTTTTGCTTAGAAGCATTACATTATTTACATTTTTTAGATAGATATTTCTACCATATTGAACTATTTTCATTAACATAATTTAAATAGGTCTTAGTATATAACAGGTAAAGGAGATTTTTATGTGAGACAGCAAGATCAGAAAGGAAATAAAAAAAGGTTACAATAAATCTATTTTTAATTTAATTTATTTATTTTTAAGTTTGTTTAAGTAGATCATTGGGATCATTCATCCAGATTTGATTTAAAATTTTTAAACTTATGAAAAAAACGAGAAATTAACTTCAAGACTTTCTCCTATGTGTTTTAGGAGGTGGGCAGAAATTATTTTTTAAAGTTGTTCTCTAATTCATACTCTATAAATTATTGTTAAAAAAATGTCTGTAGGAGAAGTACCTTTTGTGTGAAACACTAAAGTGTAATAGAAGTATTGTCTTCAGTAAGGGTACCCATCATTGGCTGAAGATCATGAACAGTGTAGGTTCAACTAAAATTCAAATCCTGGCAAATGGATTGTTTGAATTGGGGTTTTAATGGTTTTTCTTCTCATGTGTGATGGAGTTTGAGTCAGTTTCCCTTAAAATGTTTCCCTTGAAGACATCCAAGTAGGTAGATAAGTCGAATTACTTTGCCTTCATCAACTAATGTAACCTAAATCTTCTGTAAAGAAAAGAATATATATATATATATATAATTTAACATTTTAATTTAACTAGAAGAGTATTGAAAAATATTTTCTATTTAAAAGACTATCAATAATTATTTTAAAATTATTGTATTCCTTTAATTTAATTTAATTAAAATTATTTAATTCTGTATAACTAAATTCTAGTGTACTGATAATTATAATAATAGTTACATTAAAATTCTTTAAGAGTAATTTTCAGCACTAATTTTTGTTTGTGAGAAAAAGCTTTAAAATATTGATTAACGTTTAATGTTCTTCTGCAGAGCTTGAAGTGAAGGAAGACTTTATTTCTAGTAATAATAAAATATTTGGCATGGACTTTTCTAAGTGAATTTTATTGAACATATGTGTATTTCTCTTATATTAATAAATGTTAATATCTTATATTAAATAGATGTTGAAGAAGAAACTATTTGGTCTACTTTTTCTCAGTGTGGGCTTATTGAACGCATTCGGGTTGTTCGAGACCGTATTACAGGTGCTGGTAAAGGAATTGCTTATGTTTTGTTTCACGTATGTATTTTATTCGTATCATAAAAGTACTATACACTAAAATTGTCAATTGAATTTTTTGTATTTTATTTCTTGAAACTTATTTCTTCCTTTTGTATCATTTTATAGTATCATATTTATTTCCTTACTTTTGTATCTAATTTTAAGGAGAGAAAAATTCTGTGAGGTTTAGACCAATGGGTATTTTATGAATGCTGCATTTCACATGAGCCTTTTGGAGCATTATTTAAATATTGCTAATGCTGACATATACTGTTGAACCATGTCTTAGTGATAATAAGTCTTTTAATACTTTCAATGCCAGGAACACAAATTTGTATTTTTCGTAACCAGTAGTTTCAAAGTCATGTTCATATACAAAAATTCATGTATGTTAGCACTTTCCATTATTCCATTTCTTTCATTTTTATCTCAGGATGTAAGAAGAAAAGGAGGATGAATGTGCAGTTTATTTTGCAGAATTCCAATTGTAGTTACTGAATATTATTTTTAATTTTGTTTGTTTTTGTAGTGTGAGGCATATTAATATAATCTTCAGATCACTAACTGCTATCTCAGAATGAAAAAACATTTATTTATTTATCTCTTTTTTTATGTTGAACCCTGAATTTACCTGTTATTTTCCCTGAATAGTACTCTAGCTTGTTATTTACCATTTCATTACCTCAAAGGAATATTGTTTGAAAGAAAGAGCCATAAAAATGATGAGTGAACTGTAATATATAATATTATAACTGTATTTATTAACAAGCAGAATTGGCTACAGAGGCCATAACAAATGAGAGCCACATACTGTCCACAGCAGTGGCTAATTTACAAAAGGGCTAGTGCTGAGGCCAAAAATGAATTAACACTGTGCATGTAATTTAGAGAAGTTCTGAAGCTTAGGAGGAAATTTAGGGAGTGTCCTTGTGACCTCTTGACTGTTACAAGAGTGGATAGGATTGAACATCCTGACCCACTTTGAAATAGCACTACAAAATAATTGCATAACTATAAAAATTGCCGAGATACACTCATGACCAAAATTATCTGTTCATGCATGAAATCATGGAATTCTCAGAAACTGTGAACTATAATTTTATGAATTTATGTGGAATGATAACATAATACATAACAGCAGAAAAATTTAAGAGCATATAACAGTCATATAAAGTAGTTAAAATGTTAATAATATGTTTCAAGAGTTCGGAAAAAAAAAATTAATGCTTACGAATTTAATATGGAATGTGATCTACCTTTGTACACACATTTTGCAGTGTTTTCATGCTGGCAATAGCATTGTTGAACTTAGTATCTAGATTAGTCACTGTTTAGAAAATTGAGTTTCATTCCTCCACCAATGTAGTCTTCAGGACATTTACACCTCTAGTAAGGATGGTATCTTTGTATAAGTGTTTATCCAAAGAAGTCCCTAAGTTGTATATCAGATTGAGATCAGGAGATTCAGTTGGCCGTGATACAAGGTTGTTCAATAAGTTCGCAGAGCTCCATTTATTCATCAATGTTAGACCTAAAACTTCAACGCCATTTTCATATTTGTTCTTTCTTAGGAACACGTCAAAAGTTTCATTTCGATCTGTTAATTTATTCATTGTTTAACCGCCCCTTATATCTAACGTGTTGTGCCTTTTTTCAGGTATGGATAAAATTGAGCAACGTGCAGTTATCAAATTCTTTGTAAAGAAAGGTTCATACCGAAATGGTGAGTGTGTTAGGTGAATCTGCTCCTTCAAAAACAATGGCTTGCAAGTGGGCTAGTTTATTCAAAAGTGGTTGTACCAGCCTGAAGACGATCCACAAGAGGGACATCCAAAAACTGCATCAACACTGGAAATCATCGGAAAAATACAAGATATGGTATTGGAAGACCGTCGATTGACTGAAAGAGATTTTACAGAGGCTTTAGGCATTTCATTGGACACAGTGAGCAATATTTTTAGTGTTAATTTGGGTTTCAAAAAACTGTGCAAAATGGGTGCTGCATGCTCTAACGATGGAGCAAGAGCACATTCGGATTCGACTTTGCCAGCAACGTTTGCAGCGTTTTAAGAAGAATAAAAGTGACTTTATCCGTCGATTTATCACAATGGATGAGACTTGGGTGTACCATCATGATCCTGAATCAAATTTGGAGCATTTTAAGAAGAATAAAAGTGACTTTATCCATCGATTTATCACAACGAATGAGATCCTGAATCAAAACAGGAGGCTAAGGAGTGGTGTGAACCTGGCTCTTCGGCGCCAAAGCGAGTTCGTGTGCAAAAACAGCCAAGAGGGTGTTAGCATCAGTTTTTTGGGATGCGAAAGGAATTTTGTTTATAGATTACCTTCAAACTGGCAAAAGAATTAATTTGGATTATTATTGTAACCTTTTGAATCAATTAGACGAAAAAATTCGTGAAAGAAGACCCAGATTACAGAAGAAGAAAATCATTTTCCGCCACAGCTAAAAAAACCATTGCTAAAATAACTGAATTGAAGTACGAATTGTTGCAACATCCAGCCTATTTGCCAGATTTAGCTCCCTCCGACTTCTGGCTCTTCCCACACCTCAAACAATATCTCCGTGGAAACTATTTTCTTCAAACAAAGAGGTAATAGCTGCCGTGGAGGGATATTTTGCAGAGCTGCCAAAACCACTACAGTCAAGGGATCCATAAATTAGAAGACTGTTGGAATAAGTGTATTGAAGTTGAGGGAAACTATGTTGAAAAATAGTCATTTTTACAAATAAAAATTTGTTTCTTCATTTCCGTTCCACGAACTTATTGAACAACCTGGTATTTGCTTAGTCTCTTCAATTTCAAGAAATTCGTCAACAGGTTTCTTCAATGTGGACTACCACTAACATCCATAAATAAAAGTCAGATCCATATGCACCTCTGAAGAGTCTTATATAAGGTAGTTGGACCTTATTCCTCTATCTCTGGCTGGTCACACATTCCGTGTTAAAATTGTGTAGAGGCATAAGTCTATCCATCATTATTCCTTCCCATATCATCACACCTGCATTACTGAAATAATCATGTTTTAAAAGAAGATTTTATGTTCCAGATTCCTTACAGATGTAAACATGTTTAGAAACAGGTGTTAAATTAAACTTTAACGTATTAGTAAAGAGAATATATGAGCATTGGTGTTCACTCTATTTTTGATATTCTTTGTACCAATTAAAATTATCCTTTTTTTGTTATAAAGACTGTAAAACACCTACCCTTGACTTATACAGAAGAAACTGTATACTGAAGTTCTTTTCAATTAAGCCTTCTGCATACAGTTTGCAGTTAAGCCTTCTGTATACAGTTTGCAGTGATACAACAGCGCTTGGTGTAATTGCTGGCTCATAGACCTACTGTTATTATGACAGGCAATTATTGCCAGATGTCAATCTTGAGAAGCAGTTGTTTGTTTGTAACCTCATCTAGGCCTCCTTCCAACAGTTACAGAATTCTGAAATTTTTTTCTATAGCATAGAGACTGTTTATCTGAAAATATTCACACTTCTTGCTGCTTCCATGATTATGTGTCCTGCTTTTAAATGGCTGATGATTCACCACTTGACAGACTCTTCCAAATAATACTTCAAAACCATAGCAAACTGTTTTGAGTCATTACATTAAAATTAAATTTGTATTGCAAAAATTCATTCAGATATTCACTTTGCACTTCACACTTTATTCACTGTCAAATGATGTTGATTATCAGAGGTCGTTTAATCACCTTTGATTCGATAATGTTAACTTCACTTATCTTTCATATATTCCCTGTAAGAATGGCTTACAGTGATTTTATATTTCATAGAATATCTATAGTTTTGGGTATGTAAAGATAAATTTTGACATGAGTGTACTAAAATATATATCTGTTATGAAATTTATTCTTGAATATGCTATAGAATAAAATAGCATAAAACATTAACAAGCTGGTAATAGCGAGATACCATATAATGTGATTACATCAATAATATTATTCAGCAGGTAAGAGGCATATTTTTAGATAAACATCTTTTAAATATATCTGCAGAATATTTAACAGTTGCTACCTACTCTGTCCTTTTTACCAGCACCAGTTACAATTGTTATGCAATTTATTTACTGGTTTTCCTTAAGAAAGAGGCACAGCAAAATTATTATTTTTTTTAATTCTCTGAGGTGTAATGCTGTTAATTAAGGTTTTCCAGATGCAAGTTTTTTTTTTTTTTTTTTTTCTCTCTCTCTCATTTTTTCTTTGTTGAGGGATCTGTCTGTGCAGTTGCATGCATAAGAAAGAGAGATAAATAGATGGATGCTGGAACTAAGGCTATTGGATAACTTTTCCAAAATGAAAGTATAAGAAAGCATTTTGTTGTAGCAGTCATGGTGCGTATTAGGACTGTATATTTTCATTAAAAACATGTGAAAAATAAACTGATAAATTATACTTTTATATGAACATTTTCGTTTAAACAATTTTTCTTCTCTGTTTTGCATAATACCACAGTATCACAGAATTTACTGGATATATATGAATTTAGAGTAAACTGCACTTAGCCCCAGACTGGTTTTAAAATTTTCAAAATAGCTTTGTAAATCTTGAAACATACTATTTGTTTTTTCGGTCATTAAATAATTTTTTTTATTATTATTTTGCTTACATGCTTGAGATTGTAATGGATTAAAAAATATGTTTACTTGTGTATTTTCCCCCAACTTTTAACACAAGGCTGTGATTTTTATTTTTATTTTATTTATTATTTTTTTTTTTTTTTTTTTTTAATTCATGTAACTTTTCCTTTTCTCAAGTCAGTCAGAAAACAAGCGTCTCAAAATTTTACAATGAGTTTATCCTTGTAGTGATTATTTTAGTAATTATTTGCTGATGGATTTTGGGTGTATGAGCTCTGACTAATGAAGCAGTTCTAGTGAAGAGGAATATCTAATGCTATTCTCAAAATCATTGCATGTGGGAAGATAAACTGTGCAATATTGACAGTGGCAGCAACTTGCAGTCTGTAGCAGACAACACATGTAGCAGTTCCAGCAACAGTGAATGATTTGAGTAGCAGTCAACAAAAAGTGTAGCCGAGGTTCAAGATAGAGAAAAGCATAAATGGAGATATTTGTATATTCTTATTTGGAATGTAAATTTCTTTCAAATAATCGTGATAGTTACTGTTAGTTTATCCATGATTACTTTTCATTTGTTATGTTCTTATTTTAAGTGCATCCTTCAGATATTAAATTATTCACATAATGTTCCCTTCTTGATTTTTGTTCAATAGTAAAAATGGAAGGAGCATGCATGAGTAAATGCCTTATTCATGAAACGTTTGCTGTGCTGCAAATGGTGCCATTTAATAATATGAATTATGATTTAACACAGTTACTGGTATAAAATAATTACTTTTGTGTGGTATTAAAATTTATTTGATGAGGTAACTATTTCCAAGAAAGCAATCTTTCATGACAAGTTCAAGAAGTGGTTTTCATTTGCATTATGTAAAGAAAAAATGAAGTCAGTTCCTCTCAGCCATTTATCTGAGGGGCAATATTTTGGATAAAACTAAGTGTAGTCACTGATATTTTATATACTTGCTGTTTTATTTGTAACAACAATATTATCTGCTTCTTTTATTAGCACTTCTCTTTTTTTAAATAGTCACAGCTTCTGTTGTAGAAGAAATATCTTATTGTAGTCCACAGGATTTTATCTTTTCTTTCGGTTCTAGTTAAACTGCGTGAAAACAAATTTTGAAATCAAGTACTTTAATCATTTTTAGTATTTTTTCTATGTGTTTAAAAAAAGTATTTTATATACACTGAAGTGACAAAAGTCATGGGATAGCAATATGCAAATATATAGATGGCAGTAGTATCGCGTAGAAAATGTATAAATGCGAAGTGCTTTGGCAGGGCTTTCATTTGTGTTCAAGTTATTCATGTGAAGAGGCTTTGACGTGATTATGGCTGCAAGACGAGAATTAACAGACTTTGAACACGGAATGGTAGTTGGAGCTAAATGCATGGGTCATTCCATTTCGGATATCGTTAGGGAATTCAACATTCCGAGATCCACAGTGTCAAGAGTGTGCCGAGAGTATCTTATTTCAGGCATAAAATCCCACCGTGGACAGCACAGTGGCCGACCACCTGCACTTAACGACCAAGACCAGCGACGTCTGCGTAGAGTTGTCAATGTTCACAGAAAGCAACACTGCGTCAAATAACTGCAGAAATCAATGTGGGACATACGAGGGACGTGTCCGATAATACAGTGCGGCGAAATTTGTCTTCCTTGAGCTATGCCAGCAGAAGACCGACTCGAGTGTCTTTACTGACAGCACGACATCGCCTGCAGCGACTCTCGTGGACTCGTGAGCATATCGGTTGGTCCTGAAACGAATGGGAAAACCGTGGCTTGGTCAGATGAGTCACGATTTCAGTTGGTAAGAGCTGATGGTAGAGTTCGAGTGAGGCGCAGACCCCACAAAGCCATGGACCCAAGTTGTCAACAAGGCACAGTTCAAGCTGGTGGTGGTTCCATAATGGTCTGGGATGTTTTTACATGGCATGGACTGGGTCCTGTGGTGCAACTGAACCGATCATTGACTGGAAATGGATATCTTCAGCTACTTCACTTACAGCCATTCATGGACTCAAACAACGATGGGATTTTTTATGGATGACAATGCGCCATGTCACCGGACCACAAATGTTCGCGAATCGTTAGAAGAACATTCTGGACAATTCCAGCGAATGATCTGGCCACCTAGATTGCCCAACATGAATCCCATCGAACATTTATGGGACATCATTGAGAGGTCAGTTGGTGCCCAAAACCCTGCACCATCAACACTTTTACAATTATGGACGTCTATAGATGCAGCATGGCTCAATATTCCTGCAGGGGACTTCCAACAACTTGTTAAGTCCATGCCATGTCGAGTTGCTGCACTTCGCCGGGCAAAAGGAGGACCGACAAAAATATTAGGAGGTATCCCATGACTTTTGTCACTTTAGTGTACTTGATTAAACTCTTCCCGAAGACAAATATTATATCAAGCTTTGATTATATTTTTAATGTAATATTTATTGAAATTGTAACAATGCAGCTGGGTTTATTTTTATTTATTTATTTATTTTTAGAAAACTGAAGCAAAAGAGAAAGCTCTGACTTTAAAAGATGTTGAAATTGGCAACAGAAATTTAAGGATTCAACCTGTAGAAAGATCTAACCACAAAAAGGAGGAAAATGCTCACAATTCCAAATCTTCCTTGAATTCTTTGTAATGAAATTTTTAGTTGTTTTTTTAATTCCATATGATAGTTTGCTTGTTTGTTTTTTACTTTGCTAATTAAAAATATTATTTTCTCAGCAAAAGCAAGGCTATAAGAATGAAGAGAAATCTGCAAAGGCCAAATAGTAGGAAGACAATAAAAAAGATGGAGAAGAAAATAAAGAAGATGCATAAAAAGAAAAAGATTGCTTCCCAGTTTAAAAATATGATTTAGCAAAATAAATTTGTATGATTTTTTAATCTGAAAAGTGTGCTCATTTTTTTTTTAAACAGATGCTAGGAATCTGTGCATATATGAAGTCTGATAATTGATTGTTCAAAAATAATGTAATATAATCAAATTAAGACTTAATAGTTGTAAGGTTTACGGAAAATAATTAAGTCAGAGTTACTATTAAAGCATTCTAGTTTTATCTTAAACCTGATATACAGTGTTCCCTCGCCACTTCTCGTTTCATGTTTTGTGGCTTCAGTGCTTCATGGGTTTTTCTACAATATTCATCAAAAAACAAAAATTTAAAAATACAACCAAACAAAGGGATGAGTTGACTCAGTGTACGAGTGGATTTATCCCTGTGAGTTTGATTGTTTGTGCATCATCGCAGCCTCACCTAGCATATTCTCTTGTTGTATCTCGCCAATCTTGTCCATGATGTTGACTGTCTCACATACTTATTTTAGTGTTGTCTTGGTAATAACTTTTTTTTGTTAAAGCGATAAATTTTTTTATTACTTAAGCCCTTATAATGCCTCCTAAGTGCTGTGCCCCTGCAAAAGCTTCCTCTGGGGTGCCCAAGAGGAAGAAGATGATGACCATCAGCGAAAAAGTGAAACTTTTAGATATGATCAAAGAGGGCAGAAGTTGTGCATCTGTGGCATGTCATTATGGGGTGAATGAATCTACAGTGCGGTACATCAAGAAAGAGGAAGCAAACATCCGCAAAACTGCTTCAATAACCTTCAATAAAGAAGCAAAACGTGTGGTAACTCCGCCTAATAACAGAATTGTGAAAATGGAAGCTGCACTGGCATTGTTGATTGCTGATTGCAGGAAAACGACAGATTGGACACTGATATGATCAGGACAAAGGCCAAAGCTCTCTACGACCAAATCTTGTCCGATGACAACAATGAAGAGGCTGAAGAAGGTGCTGACGAATCTCAAGCTAGTAATAGCGCTGACAGGAGTGATTCATCTGCTCAAGGGCGAAGCTTTTCAGCCAGCAAAGGCTGGTTTCAAATATTTCATAAAAGATACAGCCTCAGAAACCTGCTTCTGTATGGTGAGGCTTCCTCTGCTGACAACAATGCTGCTTGTTGTTACGTGGAGGAAGAGTTTCCTAACCTCATCAGTAAGGGAGGGTACCTCCCTGAACAAGTTTTCAACATGAATGAAACATGCCATTTTTGGAAGAGGATGTCTTTCTCTTCAAGGATGAAGTGAAAAGGCCAGGCGTCAAGGCTCACAAAGACTGTGTGCTTGTCATCATGGCTGGCAATGCTGCAGGTTTTATGCTTAAGCCAGGCCTTATTTATAAAAACAAAAATCCACAGGCATTAAAAAAAAATACAGTTCTGTGGTTTGTGTTCTGGATGCATAACTTCAAGGACTGGATAATGAAAGCTCTGACCCTTTAATGGTTCCTCAATTGCTTCATTCCCCAGGTAAAGCTGTATCTGGCTGAAAAGGGCCTCCCTTTTAAGGTCCTTCTCCTGATGGACTGTGCAGGAGGCCATGCAACGGACATGCAATACGGCGATGTGCAGATAGAGTTTCTGCCCCCTGAACACTACATCTCTAATTCAGCCGATTGATCAAGGTGTCATTCGTGCCTTTAAGGCACTCTACACTCACTCCACGATGGAGGGCCTTATCTCAGCAGTTGACGATGCCAATAACAAATTCACCTTGAAAACATATTGGCGAAATTAGGATATTGTCTCATGTTTGTCTAATATTCAGCGAGCACTAAAGGACATAAAGAGTGAGACCATAAATTCTAGCTGGAAGAAATTGTGGCCAAACGTGGTGCACAACTATCCAGGCTTCACTTCTGATGAAGTTCATCACTCAGCAGGGGCAGAAGGCAGTGAGGCTGGCTCACATCATAAGCAATGACGGATTTGTCAACATGACAAAAGAAGACATCAGCGCCCTTATCGATTGCCACTAGTACCCACTGACCGATGAAGACGTCCTTGAGATGACAGTCTGCAAATGAGGAAGACGGAGAAGAAATTGAAAAGCGTGGCCTTATCCTGGAGAATCTGCAACAATTTGCACAAGGCATTGACGACAATATGGTTCGAGCTGTGGAGTTCAGCAATTGCATTGATGGGGGTTATATCCCTGTACAGGGGAATTTTGAAGGAAAAGAAAAAAACAGAGACAATAGCTACCCATGTTTCTCTTCAAGATAAAGTCCCCGGCTCTGTCGTCAGCACCTCCAGCAGAAGAGTCTCCGAGTGAGCCTAAAGCTTCTGTGAGTCAAATGAAACCCTCTCCTCTGCCATCAACACAAGAGTCTTCACCTCTCTCAGAAAGAAATGTTGATTAATGCTTATTACTGTATAGGGTTTTGTAATTAACCTTATTAATTAGCACTGACACGTTTAAGTAAATATGTATACTGTTTTAATTTTTGTCTTAAATGTGTAAAGTATAAATACTGTTTACATATTTAAAATGTTTGTACTCGCATACATGAAAATTCCTGGGGGCAAATCCTAATTCGCGGTTTTTCAACTTTCGCGGAAGGTTCTGGCCCCCATTAACTGCGAAAAACGAGAGATCACTATACATGTAAAAAAAGTGCTTTTTTTGGGAAAAGGTGCATAAGTGGTACTTATTTATTATCCAGTTCTTTTATGTTTCAGGCTCACACACAACAAAAATATTACTTTTCTGAAAGTCTTAAATCCAATCCTAATTTTTCCACTACTTTCAAAGTTTCCTGACGTGGTGCAGTTTGATGTGGCTTTCCTTTGTTACCTTATGCATATGTAAATGATGTCTCAAATTCTTGCTAGATATGATGCAAAATATCAGAGTAATTTATGTTACACTCTGACAGCTTCTATTACTCTGCTTTGCTTTAGTGAGTATCAATGGTAGAAACATTGTGGACACATTGCTTGATGCAATACCCGTGGTCTAGTGATATGAGGTTTGGAAAACATGGGTGCCATGCCAGCTTTCCGCTGCTGCGGAAACAAAAATCTTCATTCAGAAGTTCACATTCATGATACTGTAAGTGTGAAGGAACATAATGGTACTTAAAGATGACTTTTGCTTTTCCTCTTAAAGTTGTGGTACTGCATACAATTATAATACAGGATGCATCAAAAAATTATGCAAATTTTTAACTATCATAGAAAATTTATTTTCCAGTTTAGGAGGCTACATCTCTGAGAAATGTGAACTTACAGTACAATATGAAAAATAAGTGTACTTTCTGATCAAACTGAATGTTCCAAATGATTGTTAAAGTAATGTTTAAAATGGTGACCTTCAGCATAAATACAAATCATGACTAATTCATTATTTCATGTCAAAGTGTCTGATGGGATTTCTGCACCCACTGCTGAATTTCATCCCAAAGTGTGTCTAGGTTACGTAGTTTACAATACTACACCTCATCTTTTACTGTGCATGATAAGAAAAAAAGTCTCATGGTAAGATCTGGAGAGTGTGTGGGTAACTTGTAGGTCCCTTGCCTCTTGTCTACTGGCCTACTCTGTTTTGATCCAGGTGTGCTCTCACATCTCTTTGATAGTACGGCAGGGTTCTATCTTGTTGGTAATAGATGTTGCATGAATGACAGGGAAAATGGAAACAACAAGCATTGTTAGGTACCTTTATCTAGTCACAACACCTTCAAAATGGAAAAGCCTAATGAGACTCCTAAGAGACAAATCACGCCATACATTTACATCAGGCAGATTCAGTCTTTTCAACAGTAATGTGGGGATTATCTTTAGTCAAGTACACAGTATACCTATTGACAGTCCTATTAATTTTGAATTGTGCTTTATCTGACCTAATAATGCTAGCCAAAAATTGTGCACTGTGGTCTGGGTTGTTGTTAATTCCAGCACTGCAACTGAGGATTCATCATTTGTAGCGATGCAAGATCACTCTGAAAAGCCTTTCTGTACATCGCAAACAGTTCCGTGAACCTTGAATTTGCCTCGTAGACATGTAATTGTAAACCTTTGACGACAGATCAATTCCATACTTATGTTTCCACTGTGTCTGAACTGCAGCAAAATTCTCAAACTTCTCACGTACTGCTTAATAACCTGCTTCTGTTTTTCAGAACTCAGATGTATATGTGTCATGTTGTTAATCTCTTGCTACAAACTGGGTTGTGAGCTAGATTAATGATTCCGCTGCCACCTGTTGATGAAACATAACATTACTTTTTAGCAGAAATTTAATCACATAAGTAACTTTCCACAAAAGTACTCATAAAGCTCATCACAGTAACACAGGGTATAATCAGTAGTTACACTTCAAACTGTAGGGTTTCCCTTATTTTGCATAACCAATTTATTTTAAGTTTGGTACATTTACTGAACTTTTCAACTTCCCCTCAAATTTTCTCATCAAGATGTAAATTTAAAGTTAAGTGAAGTGCGTATTTAAACGGGTGAATCTGAGTTTATTCAGAGCGTGTTTTCTCAAGCCAGCTCACGTTTCGTTGTTGTTACGCTAGTAAGCCTCTTGGCCATTTCGGATTATCATCATGCCTGTTAGGTTTTTGAGTCAACCTGCTAGGCATAACTTGCATGCTATCCAGCACTAGCTATTTTAGATTTTTTCACTTGAATTATATTCTACGTTTTTGGTTTTACCGAAAGTTTGATGGTGCCGTTGTAACGCAGGAAGATCGTGCCTTTCTGTTAGCTATTTGAATTTAATAAAGGGTTAATTTCACTCTTCTTTGGTGTTGGTATTTATTCACTTCTGTGCGAGAATTTGCCAGGTTCATTGTAGAATCTAATTTAGTTTACATGGAAAAACAGAGAATGGCCCTACAAAACATCTAAGGGCATTACATCCATGCAATGTAAAAGAGCGAAGATAACTTTGGGATATGATATGAGGGAAGCAGCCCGACCCTCGTGGCAGACTTTACGTCGCCCTATGGCCTTTTTGCGAGCTGCGCCAGAGCAAGCTAGAAACAACACCTTCAACAAACAAACTTTGAGACATCATGCTGAATTAAGCAATTATTACTCAGTC